AGGTGAAAGAAAGTTATGGTGCAGTGCAAAGAAAGGCAAGTGTAGAAAAGAGTGCAATATAAATGGATTGAGAGATGACATTATTCAAAGAACCTCAAGAAAGTGTTCTTTATAAATAGAAAGGATAGGAACTAAATAGATCAGGTTTTATGGAAATGATTTATAATTTTACTGAAAATAATTAAGAATCAATTGTAGTTACACTGTTAGTATTTTTTAAATACAAATTAAATTTGATGTACTTAATGATTTAATTAGAATACTTTCAGGATAATGAGTAAATATTATTGATTGGTATAAATGAAAATTAAAGCCAAGAAATTTGTTTTGAAATTCTGAAAAGTTAACTAAAATTATAATCAGGCTCAATATTTAATATAATCTTACATCGAACCCTTTAATTCTATTTATTGTTAATCTACTTACGACAATCTTGTTCATCAGATCCATCAGAACAATCAAAACGCTGGTCACATTTTCTGGTAGCCTCAATACATTGTCCATTTTTACATTCAAATTGGTTAGGTTGGCAACGCTGTGCAGTGGCTGAGTGAAAGGTGAAAGAAAGTCATGGTGCAGTGCAAAGAAAGATGAGTGTCAGAAAAACGGTAATGTAAATCCAAATGTAAGGAAACTACTAAGATTCTATGAAACAAATTTATGGTATTATGAGAAGTAAAGAGTAACTGACAATGATAATGTTAGTATTTTAGAAAATAAATACTAACTTTAACTGATTTATTGCTTTAATTAAAGTATTGGTGGAGGTCAATGAGAAAGTAATATTGGAAAGAAAAGTTTTTCTCAAATTATGAACTTTCCTATATGAAATATTTGTTATTTAATTTAATTATAAACCATACAATCATATCATCTATACAAGGTCATAGCTTCTGTATGTCTGTTTGTTATTGAACTCCTCCCTAGGGTTTTGGAGATAAACCCCTATAACTATATATATTCTGGAACTACATTACCCTGGGTACTTGGATAAGTATATTTCATTTTGATCAAAGAGGGTCCATGGGAGCACAACCCCTCACACTGATAATTATTTTCCCTTTGACATAAATTTAAACAAAGAAATGACTCCTATCCAAAATATAGAAGGAGAAAGTCAGAAGATGGAGGTCACATCAGCAAGATCATTGAGTAATATTGAAATGCATCATTTTTCTTCACAAATTATAACAATGATTTAAAACCAATTATCATTTCCTTACATTAAAATGTGTGACACAGCAAAGTATGGGTAATTTGCCTAGTGAATATATATTTCTAATTGTCTTATTACAATTGGTTTCATCTGATGTAGCAGAACAATCAAATTGTTGGTCGCATTTTCATCTAGCCTCTATACATTGTCCATTTTTACATTGAAATTAGGTTGGCAGTGTTGGGTTTTTGCTAAATGAGTTGGGAGTTAGGCACAGAAATATGTCGGGTGTAAGAAAAAGTATTTATTCAGGATATCAACATCATTAAGTTGAGAGAAAATATATAGAAAAATATGTTGTTACTTATTTGAAATGTATGTTCTTTACCATATAATCTACATCTTTATAGTGAATTAAACTCTGAAATTAAAACTTACTGTTTAATATTTAACATCAGTGGCATAAACACTACACTTAGATTTGATTTTTTGACAGCTAGATTTTTCTTTTAGTTTTAAACATTGCATACTATGTCTTTTGAAGTCATCATGCTACAGTTAATTTCATCTAATGAGCAATAGAATTTTTTATCTCATTTCACTCTAGCCTCAATATATTATCCACTTTGACATATACATTGGTTAAAAATACTGTGTAGCTAAATATGTATTGAAAGAAACACATAAGTAATTTGACTTAGATAAAAAAACTCAAAAAACCCCAGATATACGATATTAAATATACAGGAAAGGTAGTGTAATTAAAAGCAGATAGAAAAAAGTGATATCAGAATTTATAAGGATTGTCATGTTAAAGGAATTGTTTAATTTGGGAATGCATGAGATTAATATGATATGTAAAGACATGAGCAAACTAATTCTCACCTGATATTGAAGTATTTTAGAACGTTTTAATTAAAAAAGGTTCCTTTTTGCAAACCTATCTATATAGTTTATTAAACATTCAAATAGTTCATTAAAAAGTAGTATGTATTAATCAAAGAGTGATAATGTTGATATTATCAGACTGATATTAGATTGATTGAGATATTATCAAAGCAAATAGTGAATTCTTGTCAAAGTATCCTGTAACAGAGACATGTGAATTATTAATATTAAAATTCAGAAATATAACTTTTTATTTCTCTCATTACTTACTACAATTGGCTTCATCTGACCCATCAGTACAATCAACATATTCATCACATTTGTAGTTAGCATCTATACATTGTCCATTTTTACACTCAAACTGGTTAGGTTGGCAACGTTGTGCAGTGGCTGAGTGGGAGGTGAAATATACAAAATGTGAGGTGCAGGGAAAAGAAAGACAAGTGCAAAGAAAGGCAGAGATTAAAAAAAGGTTTCTGTGTACATTGAAAAGAGAATTAAGTTTAATGATTTTATTTTTGAAAGTTTCTAATATTTCTTTTTTCTTTTAAAGAGGGGAAGAAAAAGTTTTATTAAAAAAGTCCTTGCTTTTCTTAGTAAATTTTAAAAAAAATTGTATACATACTGTTTTCTTTTTCTTATTTAGTTTCTATCATTTAAAAATTGTCATGTAACAGGGTTTCATTTACTTTAAAATGCAATCTGAAGAGTTAAGCTATTATCTCCCATAAATATTTGAAAAGCACAAATAAAACTCTCAGAAGATGAATAAACTTCTTCAAATTGAAAAAAATATATTTCAAATGTAAATAAGTAATCTTTTCTTTTGAATGATATAAGTAGATGAACCCATGAATTGAAAATAAGTGATTGATCAGTTTAAATTGCTTTAGAAAAACTAAACAATTTTTCTTAATAAAAATCTTTCATAATATTTTCATTTTTGCTACTACTTACTACAATCTTGTTCATCAGATCCATCAGAACAATCAAATTGTTGGTCACATTTTCTGCTAGCCTCTATACATTGTCCATTTTTACATTCAAACTGGTTAGGTTGGCAACGTCGGGCTGTTGCTGGGTGAGAGGTGAAACACACAAAATGTGAGGTGCAGTGCAAAGAAAGAAGAGTGGAGAAAAGTGTGCAATTCTTGTATACAAGTAATGAACAGAAATGATAAAGATTTTCCTTGAAACAAATTATGATAAAATAGTTTGTATGAATAAAAATCTATAAAATTATATCGAAAGTATTTCTTCTAAATTATTTGATGATAGGACAAGAAATATTTTTATAAGATGTTAATGAGATATGAAAATGTTTGATAGAAATTAAAATAAATACTGAAGAAATTTCCGAAAATTAATCTTTATTTTCTTTTTAATATTCAATTTAAATCTAAAATCCTGTAAATTCATTTAGTCTATGCATTTCTGGTACACTTACTACAATTGGCTTCGTCTGATGCATCAGAACAATCAAATCTTTTGTCACATTTCTTGTTAGCTTCTATACATTGTCCATTTTTACATTCAAATTGGTTAGATTGGCAACGTTGTGCAGTGGCTGAGTGAGAGGGGAGAGAAATGAAAGGTGCAGTGCAAAGAAAGACAAGTGCAGGAAAGAGTGCAATATAAAGATCAGAAAGAATATTAATTAAATTTTATTAAAAGAATTCATGATATAATGGAGAATTATAGAATCAATTGAAATTATAATTGATATTAATTTTTAAAATGAATTTAAATTTGACGAATTTTTAAGGTTTTTACAAGGTCATGAGAGGTTGGTAAAGTAGTTGGTAACTGGAATGTTTATTTTCCAAATTTTGGAATAATATTTTATCCTATATATTTATACTTAATAATTTAAATAATAACCAAAGCATTTTAATTGATAATGTTTAAAGTATATCAGTTATGTGCCACATGTGATACACAATTAGGCGATCATGTATTTTTCGCTACATGACTGATGAGGTAGATTTTTTTCCACAGTAGGTTGCCATTTCTTACTGTGGTAGACCAGTTGCCACCCAAGGCTATGGAACTCAGTCTGTCTTGCTATTTACCCATAGTTGGGAGGGAGAAGAAGAGGATTCATACCTTTCCCAAGGGCATTAGCATGTAAGTGAATGTAATGGATTTGACTGGAAATTGAACTCCAATTCCTCAATCTGAGCCACTATTCATTACACCACTGTGCCTCCCATCATACATAAGAGTTTATTTTAAAGCTTGTATTTATAGATTAATAATGGACATTTCAAATATGCTGGTAACATGTTTTGAAGCATTGAAGCATATGAGTTATGTTAAGATTGAGACATGCACCTTTTCATTTATTCGGATTACTTACTACAATTGGTTTCATCTGACCCATCAGAACAATCAAATTTTTTATCACATTTTCTGCTAGCCTTTATACATTGTCCATTTTTACATTCAAACTGGTTAGGTTGGCAATGTTGTGCAGTGGCTGAGAGAAAAGTGAAAGTAACTTAAGGTACAGTGCAAAGACAGACAATTGCAAGAAAGAGTGCAATATTAAAATTGGAAAAAATAATTAAATTTTATTGAATGTATTTATATGGAGAAGAATTACAGAATAAGTTGTGATTACATTTATAATGGTTTTTAAAATAAAGTTTAAAAGATTTTCTAAGGTTTTTACAGGGTAATGCAAGGATAGTAAAATAGTTGATATCAATAAAAATGAATCTCTGGAAAGTTTATTTTTAAACTTCAAGAATAATACTTTATCCTATGTATTGTACTTAATAATTTAAACATAAATCTTGCAAACGTTTATAGTCAATGTATTTCTAATTAACTTTTTTTTCATTTTTGCTACTACTTACTACAATCTTGTTCATCTGATCCATCAGAACAATCAAATTGTTTGTCACATTTTTTGCTAGCCTCTATACATTGTCCATTTTTACATTCAAACTGGTTAGGTTGGCAACGTTCTGATGTGGCTGGGTGAGACGTGAAAGAAAGTTAAGGTGCAGTGCAAAGAAAGATAAGTGCAGGAAAGTGCAATATAAAGATTGGAAAGAAAATGAATGAGTTTTATTGAAAGAACTCAGGATATGATAGATAAGAATTATAGAATCAATTGTAATAATATTGATAATGCTTTTTAAAATAGAGTTTATGAATTTGAAGGTTGTTACAAAGTAATGAGAGGATGGTGGAATAATTGGTATTAATGAAAATGTACCTCGGAAAACTTATTTTCAAAATTTACTGTTAATCTACTTACTACAGACTTGTTCATCAGATCCATCAGAACAATCAAACTGCTGATTGCATTTTTTGCTAGCTTCTATACATTGTCCATTTTACATTCAAACTGGTTAGGTTGAAACTGCAGTGGCTGAGTGAAAGGGGAAAGAAAGTTATGGTGCAGTGCAAAAGAAGGCAAAAGTGTAGAAAGAGTGCAATATAAATGGATTGAGAGATGACATTATTCAAAGAACCTCAAGAAATTTTTTTTATAAATAGAAAGATGGAACTAAATAGATCAGGTTTTATGGAAATGATTTATAATTTTACTGAAAATAATTAAGAATCAATTGTAGTTACACTGTTAGTATTTTTTAAATACAAATTAAATTTGATGTACTTAATGATTTAATTAGAATATTTTTCAGGTTAAAAAGTAAATATTATTGATTGGTATAAATGAAAATTAAAGCTAATTAAAGCGTATATGCTACTTATCTACTTACTAAAATTGGTTTCATCAGAAACCATCAGAACAATCAAATTGTTGGTCATATTTTCTGTTAGTCTCTATACATTGTCTATTTTTACATTCAAACTGATTAAATTAGCAATGATAAGTAGTAGCTTGGTGGAATGTGAAAGAAATTTAAGTTGCAGTGCAAAGAAAAGTGTAGAATCTCATTTCATGATATAATAAATAAATGAATTGATTTAATTTTATAATAAATGAATAACAAAATATTAATGAGAGGATGGGGGAAAATGTCTTGTTGATCTGAAAAATATCTGGAATAATTTTAAAAGTTTTTTGAAAGTGAATTTTATTTTTATTCTTAATATTTTAAATCGGGACAGACATACATAGATATTTAATTTAAATGAATAGAATCATTGTTTATATGTATTGCTAATCTAATTCATCTGATCCATCAGAGCAATCAAATTGTTGGTCACATTTTTGCTAACCTCTATACATTGTCCATTTTACATTCAAACTGGTTGGGTTGGCAACGTTCTGATGTGGCTGGGTGAGACGTGAAAGAAAGTTAAGGTGCAGTGCAAAAGAAAGATAAGTTGCAATATAAAAGATTGGAAAGAAAATGAATGAGTTTTATTGAAAGAACTCAGGATATGATAGATAAAAATTATAAATCAATTGTAATAATATTGATAATGCTTTTAAAATGAGTTTATGAATTTGAAGGTTGTTAAAAAGTAATGAGAGGATGGTGGAATAATTTTAATGAAAATGTTGAAAACTTATTTTCAAAATTTACTGTTAATCTACTTACTACAGACTTGTTCATCAGATCCATCAGAACAATTTAGCTTCTATACATTGTCCATTTTACATTCAAACTGGTTAGGTTGACAACGTTGTGCAGTGGCTGAGTGTGAGGTGAAAATAAGTTAATATGCAGTGCAAAGAAAGCAAAGTGCAGGTAAGTGTGCAATATAAATAATAATGTTAGGAATTAAAAATTAGATTTCATTGAACGGATTTATTAATTTCTGTTATACAATATTTTTAAGAAAATTAAATTTAGTGAATTTTATATTTTGTTGGTTAATGAAGGGATGGTAAAATGGTTGGTACAAATGAAAATGAAATTCTTGAAGTTTTATTTTTAGATTTTTAAATCCAATTTCTTAGTTTTATTCTTAATATTTAATTCAAGCCTAAATCATATAAATTTTTATAGTCCATGTATTTCTAATCTTACTGCAGTTGGTTTCATCTGACCCATCAGAACAATCAGAAGTTTTGATTACTTCTATACATCGTCCATTTTTAAATTCAAACTGGTTAAGTTGACAAAGTTGTAGAGAGGCTGAGTGGGAGGTGAAATATACAAAATGTGAGGTGCAGGGCAAAGAAAGACAAGTGCAATGAAAGGCAGAGATTAAAAAAAGGTTTGTGTACATTGAAGGAGAATAAAGTTTAATGATTTTATTTTTGAAAGTTTCTAATATTTTTTCTTTTAAAGCCTTGCTATTCTGAGTAGATTCCAAAAGAATTGTATACATGTAACAGGGTTTTGTTTAGTTTAAAATGCAATCTGAAGAGTTAAGCTATTATCTCCCATAAATATTTGAAAATAACACAAAATGCTCAGAAGATGAATAGACTTCTTCAAATTAAAAAAAAAAATATTTCAAATGTAAATAATCTTTTCTTTTGAATGATATAAGTAGATGAACCCATGAATTGAAAATAAGTGATTGATCAGTTTCAATGGCTTTAGAAAAACTAAACAATTTATCCTCATAAAAATCTTTCATAATATTTTCATTTTTGCAACTACTTACTACAATCTTGTTCATCAGATCCATCAGAACAATCAAATTGTTGGTCACATTTTCTGCTAGCCTCTATACATTGTCCATTTTTACATTCAAACTGGTTAGGTTGGCAACGTTGTGCAGTGGCTGAGTGTGAGGTGAAATATACAAAATGTGAGGTGCAGGGAAAAGAAAGACAAGTGCAATGAAAGCGTAAATCTTCAATTGTAAAAAGTATTGTTAACATATATTTAAAGAAAAGTCACTATTGATTATATTTTATCTTATTGTTTGTTTTTTTTGACAAATTTTATTAAACTAAAGTATGTTGAACAGAGTTGATTTAGTGGCAGTCAGCAAAACTTAACCATTTTAGTTTTAAAATGTGTGTATCTTATTTCTTCTCTAGATATTTTTTTCTACTGACAATCTAGTTCATCTGATCCATCAGAACAATCAAAAGTTTGGTCACATTTATGGTCAGCTTCTATACACTGTCCATTTTTACATTCAAATTGATTAAGCTGGCAACATTGCACAATGGCTAGATAAGAAGTGAAAGCAATACACACAAAAATTAAGGTGAATAAGTTAATGAAATTGTATCATGCTTATACAGACATGCATAAGTATATGATTATTATTATTATTATTAAACAGCTATAAAATGTGAGATTTCATAGTAATCTGTAAACTTATGTGAATAAAGCAACATTACCATTTTTAGATCAATATTTCATTTGAATATACTGAATGTTTATTTGGCATTTATTAGTATTACTTACTGCAATTGGTTTCATCTGAACCATCAGAGCAATCCTCAAAATTGTCACATTTGTAGCGAGTATCTATACAGTGTCCATTTTTACATTGAAATTGGTTAGTTTGGCAACGTTGTGCAGTGGCTGAGTGAGTTATAAAAGAAAGACATAAATTGTGAGGTGCAGTCTAAAGCAAGTGAAAGGTGCAATGTTAAAATAGTAGAGTGCAAAGCAGATAGAAAGAGAAAGATTTAATAAATTTATTTAATTTAATTAATTACTATTTTTATTTAAAATATTAATAAGCTTCAAAATGTGATTATACTTCTATTGTTAAGTAGATAGCTCGTCAAAGAAAGAATTAAGAGCATAATGTGTTTAACAGATATTGTTGTAACTTTAGATATTATTTCATAATATCTGTTTTTACTTTAAATGACATTTATTATCTTTTTCTTGTTATTACTTACAACAATCTACTTCATCTGATCCATCAGAACAATCAAAAGTTTGGTCACATTTATGGTCAGCTTCTATACACTGTCCATTTTTACATTCAAATTGATTAGGCTGGCAATGTTGCGCAATGGCTAGGTAAGAAGTGAAAGCGATACACACAAAAATTAAGTTGTATAAGTTAATGAAATTGTACCATGCTTATACAGACATGCATAAGTATATGATTATTATTATTATTAAACAGCTATAAAATGTGAGATTTCATAGTAATCAGTAAACTTATGTGAATAAAGCAACATTACCATTTTTAGATCAATATTTCATTTGAATATACTGAATGTTTATTTGACATTTATTAGTATTACTTACTGCAATTGGTTTCATCTGAACCATCAGAACAATCACTGAAACTGTCACATTTGTAACCAGCATCTATACACTGTCCATTTTTACACTGAAACTGGTTAGGTGAACAACGCTGTGCAGTGGCTGAGTGGGAAGTGAAAGAAAGACACACAAATTGAGGTGCAGTGCAAAGAAAAATAAATGCAATGAAAAGGTAAAGATTCTGAAGAAAAATTGCTGTGTTAATGTAGATTTTTTATTATTTACCTGCTGCCCCACGCAGCAAGATGTGGCACAAGGCCGAGTTTAAAGTGGGGTATCCGAGCCTGTATGCTCGGGCAAAAATTACCTATAGACCCCGTAAAAACAGAGTCAGTTTCCCAAGACGAGACTGCCATTTGGCAGAGCCTTGTCTGGGGTATACCCTACACAAGGTAAGTATATTTTTATATAAGTAATGTAAGTATATTTGTAGATTTTTACATATAGTCTCAGTTTATTATTAGAAGATATTAGTAATTTTTTTAGAACTAATTTGCTGTTGGGCACACTTATATTGTTTGCCTATTCAAAATAATTGAACATGAGCCTTCAAACAACATAACTTTCTTTATTACAACAATTTAGTTCATCTAATCTGTCAACACAATTATAATGCTGGTCTCATTTCTGGTTAGTTCATCAGCTGACCTCGTTTACATTCAAAATAGCTTTACAATGTTGTGCAATTACAAGGTAAGAGGTGAGAATCAGTCAAAGAAATCACATGTACAGAATTTTTCACAATTTTAATATTTTATGAAAGCGTAACAAAGTTCAAAACCAGTTTCCTTTTATATATTTATTCCAGATTTATGAAATTCTGATATATGAAAAAAAAAAAAAGAAGATACCTTATGTACTTTCAAATACAATAAATGCAGTTATAAGACATTCATTAAAGAAAGTTTATATTTTTAATGTCGTACATGATAAACTTAAGAAACCATTATATTTGTCAACAAAAATTATTGCAAAATTTCAAAAAGATCATAATCAGATCTTTTGTCTGAATTTTGATGGACAAGATATTTTAAGCATTTTATATGGATTGGTTTGAAGAGGGTGATACAGTGACACTTTATAAAATGAAGTAAAAATTATAGCCAGGAAATAAAGTCTCAACTTATTAGTAATTTTTTTAGAATTACTTTGCTGTTGGGCACACTTATATTGTTTGCCTATTCAAAATAATTGAGCATGAGCCATGAAACATGACTTTCTTTATTACAACAATTTTTTTTATCTAATTTATCAGCACAATCATAATTCTGGTTACATTTACAATTATTGTTGCCATTGGCCTTTTTTAGATTCAAAATAGTTTGCTAATGTTGTGCAATTACTAGGTAACAGGTGCAAAGTTAGTATTAGAATCACTGAAAGAAATCACATTTGCCTAATTTTCATAGATATTTAAAAAAAAGAATCTAAAATTATCGTGAGAGTAGAAAAGTATAAATGGAGACCAATCAATTTGTAACAATTAAAATCTGTTTTCAAACTGAAAAATTATCATTCTATGTTAAATCTTACTCATTGATAAATCAGCAGAAAAACACCTACTAAGCCTAACACTGAAAATTTTAATATTTTATGAAAGCTTAACATACAATTCAAAAATTTCCATTTCTACAATTTATTCCAGATCTATTAAATTCCAGTAGAAAAGTGTTCCCTATATACTATCAAATACAATAAATGCAATTATAAAGCAATAGTTATTAAAATTATAGACAGAGTAGAAGAGTATAAATGGAAACCAATCATTTTGTGACAATTAAAATCTATCTTTTTGAGACGGAAAAATTATGATTCTAAGTTAAATGTTATTTAATAAATCAGTAGAAATTTAGACAACTCCTGAACCTAACATTGAAGATTTTAATATTCTATGAAAGATTAATATACTTATATGGAATTTTCAGAAATTTGCCTTATGTACTTGTTAATCTGAAGCATCAGAATAATCAAGTATTTCATAATATTTCTTGAAAAAGCTTATAAATTGCCTATTTTTTTTATATTAAAAATTATTAGTTGTTGGTAAAAAAATGTGAAGTAAACTTTCTGAAAGTTATAAGACCAATATGTACATAAAAATGTATATTTAGTTAATAATTCAACAATATATGATTTTATATTTAATAATAAAGATATCCATAATTAATTTTTTTAGCTAAATTAAAAACATTTGTAATTTTCCTCCAGTTATTTTCATTTTAAACAGCATAAAATGAAGCTGGTATTTACAGAATTCGTGCATCTAAAAGATTATAAAGCAGTAGTTCTTCAAAATTTCCTCCCCTAATCCTTCTCACTATATTTCAGAATATTATTCCCGACTCTAAGATTGTCTGATACAAAAAAGACAGCAAGTGTACAAAGATCAATACTATAACAATCTGAATCAGCCAAATTGTGGTCTTAATAACACCTTCAAAGTGTAAAATTTCCCCAACATGTGTTGGATGAAAAATACTGTTATAAAGCATTATCAGGAGAAATTCTGAACTTATCAATTGAAATATTTTTAAGAGTAACTTCCTTCATGGAAGGAAGTATAGTTAAACCAATCATTTCAATAATTGTATATATCTGTACTCTGAAGATCAATTGAAATATATGTTTAATGTTACTTATTTTTACATGGCTGTCATTTGAAAACATTTAAAGAATTATTATGTTAGAATGTTTGTCATATTTAATGCTACCCTCTGTTTTTTTTCTTTCATTTAATTCTACAGCTAGGTGAGAAATCAAAGAAATATGGTTAAACTGATAAGAGTAACAAAACTTATTTGGTAGCATATAACACTGTGAACACTTGACAGATTTCAAAAGAAAATTTTTTGGGACATATATTTCAGATTTCTGAAATTCAAAAAAAAAAAAAAAAAAAAAAATCAAATGTGATAAGACATTTATACAAAAATAAAAAGTTTGTGATTTGATGCCATAATACATGATAAGCTTAAACCATTATGATTGTTAACAATATTGATGTAAAATTTGAAAAAGTGCATAGTCAGATTTTTTGTCTGAATTTTGATGGACAAGATATTTTAAGCATTTTATATGGATTGGTTTGAAGAGGGTGATACAGTGGCACTTTATAAAATGAAGTAAAAATAATAGCCAGGAAATAACATGAAAAAATATGAAGGGTCAAAGAATCTGAACATATACTGTACTCAGATCAATTGAACAATAAAAGTAATTTGTGAATCATTAATTAGGAAAGAACAAGTTATAAACTTGGGGTCCAAGAAGCATGATCAGAGATATTTGAGTGCCAGTAGAGTTCATTTGTAGGTATCAGATATGATATATAGCAGGGGTCAGCAACCTGTGGCACGCCAAGCAACTTCCAATGGCACACAGCTGAAAATGACATCACAAAGTCCGAAGCAATAACTATTACAACACAAAGATATTTAGCTGTTTTAATTATATACTCTATATTACTATATAAAATATATTGTAGAACAGGTATATTGATCTTGACTTGTATAAAAATATGAATGCTGTTGGCAGACTGAATGATTTTAAATATACATAGATAGCAAAAGGTTGCTGATCTGATATATATGATGGGAAATGTATGTCTCCTTGAGCAAAATTCAAAATACCAAATCACAATAAATACCCACAGAAGCCTGGTGTCTATAGAATCAAAAGTTTTTGATAAAATAAAATAACAAAGATAAGATAATAGATCCAAACTAACGAATGATATAGTTACATCTTTAGGCGCCATTCAGCAAAGTATGAAAATCTGATAATTGAGTAAATGGCCTGAATAAACCCTGAATATGTATAAATTTAATTTCTGTCTGCATTAAGAAAATAAGAATTCAAATTTTGATAAATTTGTGTACTTTTTTTACTTCATATTACAAGAATGAGAAATTAAACACAATTCCGTCATATATTTGCCAATTTTTTCCAAATGAGCTATAAGAAAAAAACAAACAAACAAAAAAAAAAAAAAACTAATTTGAGAATTATTGAAATACAAGCAAAACATTTTAAAAATCATTTCAGAGAAAGAATTTATGAAAATAAAATTTTTCTGATCAATATTTCAAAGTAATAAAATGTTGATAAGTGTTCAATTTTTGTTATTCTGATTATTTTAGAATACTTACTACAATTGGCTTCATCTGACCCATCAGAACAATCATTGAAACTATCACATTTGTAGATTGCGTCTATACATTGTCCATTTTTACACTCAAACTGGTTAGGTTCACAACGTTGTGTAGAGGCTGAGTGGGAGGTGAAACATACAAAATGTGAGGTGCAGCAAAAGAAAGGGAAGACATTCAAGAGTAAAAGGAATTGGCAATGTATATTTAAAGACAAAATCAATAATTGATCCTTTTGATTTCTGATATCTTACTTAGCATAAAAACTACATTTTGGGCAAACTTTAACATTTGTGCCCCCAAAAAACTGATATGTCAAAGGGTCATTTTTCCCTTGACACTACTAATATTTTGTACTAACTTCACTCTTACAGCAATGTTTATTGATAAGATTATAAAAAATATGTGAATCAAGTACAATGTGATATTTATTATTTACTTTTTATAAAGATTTATTATTTACCATTTTATAAAGAAATAAATGTGGAAAAAAATCTTTTTATTCAAATTTTTTTTTAAATTATCAATTATGAAAACCATCTACAATACAATAATAATTATTCACCATTTTATAAATAAATAAGAAAAGTTTTTCATAATTTTAAAAATATAAATGAATTGCTGTATGAAAGAAATGCTTGGAAAATGCATTTTTCAAAATTTATTATTAGTTGTATGTTGTTTAATCTTTTTATTTAAATTTTCATGTTTGTCAGAAATATTTTATAAGTTTATGAATAAAAAAATCATTTTCATATTTATTTCCTTATACATTGATAAATGATAAACATTGCATTGTATTAGTTGGTTCACATTTTCAGAATGTTGTTAATATAAAATTATTCTTCTAAATAAACAATAGTGCTTAATATTTTTGTTGTAAATGATCAAAGAAAATGTATAAATTTACTTTCATATACTTGCATTTTATTAAAATTCTAAGCATCTCTTTTTCAAACAACAAACATTGCTGAGGGAATGAAGGTAATTAAAATAATAGCGATGCCAAAGGAAAACTTGTACTTTTGAAATTTCTGATGTACCTAATTGAAAAAGTAGTTTTAAGATTTTAGGTGGGAAGAATAGAAATGTGAATTATTTTGGTTTCTGATATGATTAACAAAAGAATTATTGAGTCAATCATTTCTTTTACTTGGTTGATATGTTCTTCAGTTATAATATTTGAAGAACAGATCGATAAAATAAAGTACTGCATTAGATAAAGTAACACAATACATTTTGAAATACTTAAATGTAATCAGAAAACAATGCTTGAAAATACTTGAAAAGGTGCTAAATGTGTCTATACATATGCAGTCTATCTGAAAAGAGATTCGGTGTGCTGTGTGAGCTATGGCTGAAAAGGGGGATATGCTGATTGTGTTATCATCTAACCTACCTTGGGAGTATATAACTAGCTTGCTGCAGCCATCAAATATTTTTTCACATGCCTTTGTGGCAGGATAAATTGTAGCTGCTTAACCACAGCAATTCACCTACTCATAATGCCCTGAGCATCTGGCAGTTCCTGGCTGAGAAGAACATTGCTGTACTGGAACAACATCCCTATATACCTGATCTTGCTCTGTGTGACTTTTTGTTTTCCCCAAAATCAAGATCATCAAGGGGACCTGTTTTGAAAGCATGGAGGCCATCAAGTGGGCCATAATGACAGAGCTGAGGGATATCCAAGAAGAACCCTTCCAGTAGAGCATAAAAGTGTGGGAGAGAAGAATGGAAGAGTGCCTTAGACTTGAGGGGGATTACTTTGAAGGGGAAACTAGGTAGTTTGTTTTTTTTAAAATTAAAATAAATTGTTTGTGACACCAGACCTGTTACATTTCAGACAAACCTTGTATATACTAAGACATAACTTCCAATGTGGTGAGTTATGTTGTCACAGTATGAATTTAGCTCACTTAGTTACCAACATGCCCCTCTTAAATATAGATTATCTATATTTAAGGGGGACATGTTGGTAACTAAGTAACTAAGCTCATTATTGGTTTATTTTGGTGATTTGGTGGAAACTAGTTTTCAGTGTGATTCGACAATAATAAGTAAAAATAAAAAATACTATGAGATATTTTTTGTTACAATCAAAGACAAAATCAGTTGGAATTAATTTCAATCTCTTTTAGCAACTAAGAAAAAGAATAACATTTTTTATTTTATTGTCAATATGTTGCTAATCTACTTACGACAGTTGCTTTCATCAGTTCCATCAGAACAATCAAATTGTTGGTCACATTTTCTGCTAGCCTGTATACATTGTCCATTTTTACATTCAAACTGGTTAGGTTGACAACGTTGTGCAGTGGCTGAGTGAGAGGGGAGAGAAATGAAAGGTGCAGTGCAAAGAAAGACAAGTGCAAAAAAAGTGCAATATAAATAAGTTGAGATATGATATTATTGAAAGAACTGCAAGAAAGAGTGCAATATAGATAGAAAGGTTGGAACAAACAACAGTATGAAATTTTATTTAAAGAATTCATATTTTGATGAGAATTAAAGGATCACTGACAATTGCAATATTACCATTTTTTGAAATAAAAATTAAATTTCATGGTCTCTATGATTTCCACAGATTAATAAAATAATGTTAAAATTGATGATATAAACGAAAATGTATCTATAGTTTTATTTTTTTAACCTGAATATTTGAATTATGTATATTTTTTAAACCCAAATTTCTTTTGCTGTCTATATATTGCTTAATTACTTACAACAGTTGGTTTCATCTGATGTATCAGAGCAATCTAAAATTTGGTCACATTTTCTGCTAGCTTCTATACATTGTCCATTTTTACATTCAAACTGGTTAGGTTGGCAACGTTGTGCAGTGGCTGAGTGAAAGGTGAAAGAAATGTGAGGTGCAGTGCAAAGAAAGAAAAGTGGAGAAAAGTGCGCAATTCTTGTACACAAGTAATGAAAAGGAATTATCTAATTTTCCTTGAAATAAAATAATATTGTTAATATGAATAAAAACTCAATTGCAATGACATCATAAGTATTTTTTTTAATTAATTTAATCCAACTTGATTGATGGTATAACTTCAAATATGTTTATAAAATGTTAATTAGAAAATGTGAAAATGCAGGTGGAAAAATTTATTTGAAATTTTGGAAATTGAGTTTATCTTATTTTTATTCTTCATTTTTAATTTAAACCATACAAATTTATATGGTCTGTGTATTGCTAATCTATTTAATACAGTTGGTTTTATCCAATCCATCAGAACAATCAAATTGTTGGTCACATTTTCTGCTATAAATTGTTCATTTTTTACATTGAACCTGATAAAATTAGTAATGGTGTGATTTTGTTAAATAAACAGTGAATTTATATTTGAAATAATATCAGCCAAAAAGATTTTTAAAAATAAAAGTGTATTTTAGATCTCTAAAATGTATCTTTTTTTAACTTATAATTTGTTTCATTTGATGCAATCAAATCTTTAATCACATTTCTTGCTAACTTCAACACATAGTTGATTTTTATATCTGAATTTGTTGGGTCGGCAATTTTGTCTAAGTGTTAAAACAGAGGCACATAATTTGAGCTAAGATACTATTACTTACATAAGAAAAGAATACATTAAACAGTATATTTGAATCTGGATATTAAAAAGCTAAGCTTAGCAGTGCATAGGCAGAGTACGTGCCACCCAGAGCAGACCTTGAGTTTTTTGCCCATCCTCCTACCTCCAAAAATACAACATATTGCATTGTGATGCCTACCTCCAAAAATACAACATATTGCATCATGACGCCATCTTATATTGATAAGTTTGTGTAAGTTTTAAATACATACCAGACATACTTAAACATTAAAAGTAACAGTTAAACAAAGTGCAAAATCAATGTATAGGGGAAAAAATATAAAAAAACAACAAACGAGGACCATGTTTATTTCTATAAGAAAACTACAACTTTCTACAAAGTAACCTTTCTTGCTTTTTCTATACAGGCTTATACAGCAGATCCAAAGAGCTGCCCCAACAAAAGTAGCAGACCAACCACTGAATCATGCTACTGAAGCTTAGGAACATGATTATATAAAGGAAATGTGTAGCTGAGTGTTTTTGATAATAAATTGTGTATGTTACTTATTAGGCTGTTACTTACTACAATCTTGTTCATCGGATCCATCAGAACAATCAAAACGCTGGTCACATTTTCTGCTAGCTTCTATACATTGTCCATTTTTACATTTAAATTGGTTAGGTTGGCAACGTTGTGCAGTGGCTGAGTGAGAGGGGATAGAGATGAGAAGTGCAATTCAGAGAAAGACTAGAAAGATTGCAATATAAATAGAAAAGTTGGGAGCAAAAAAGGAAATTTTATAAAAAGGATTCATGATACTGATTAGAAATAAAGAATCAAATGCAATTACATTGCTACTAGTTTTCAAATAAAAAACAAATTTAATGTATTTTAGGATTCTCCAAGTTCTGCGAGTTGTAGTTAGATAAAAATGAAATTAGAGAAATTTCATTTTTAAATCCTGAAATATTAGTTTATTTTATATTTAGTTTAAAACTAAAAAAATTATATGAACTTTTATTCTACTTATTACAGTTGGTTTTATCAGAACACTAAAAATGTTGGTCTATGCATATATGCATTGTCCAAATTGTCCATGGTTACTGGTTAGTATATAGCAAAGCTGTACTGTTGATAATTTTGAGGAGGAAGACAAATGTCAGGTGTAAAAAAAAAAAAAAAAAACAACTATGAGGAAGTTTACAATATCTAAAATATAGTTATTTATTAAGCATAGCTTAGATGTGGCACAAAGCTGAAAGTAAGAAGCAATCAGTGAGGATTGAAATCACTACTCAGTTGTAATTGATCTAGCGAGACAAGCTTGCTAACCATCACACCACATCAAAGTATTAATATCATTGGATGAATTTATGTAAGTAATTATTATTAATATTTTAAATATGATAATATATTCCTTACATGTAACTTACTAGTTTATAATACTTTAATAAACTATCAAATTATAATCTATGATATATGATCTATTACCAACCAAATGAACATTAAACTTATATCTGATATATTTGCATCAGTCAAAGAAAATGCTTCTTTTAATTTTTTATCCATTTATGTCTTTAAAAATGTATCTATTGTTTTCATTTAATGCATCAGAATAATGAAATCATTGGCCAATTTTTACATTTGAATTGCAATATTGTGTAACTAAGAAAGAGTTAAAAACATAATTTGGGGAACAATGCTAAAAAATAGTCCAGTAACTGTAGAAAAAAATGGTATATTTTTAATAGCCTATTGGAATCTGGATATTAAGTTGGAAGATTATGTATTAGGATTTTGTTGCAAATTTTTTAAACTGAATGTTATTTTTAATAATAAATTGTATATGTTACTTATTACATTGCTACTTACTACAATCTTGTTCATCAGATCCATCAGAACAATCAAATTGTTGGTCACATTTTCTGTTAGCCTCTATACATTGTCCATTTTTACATTCAAATTGGTTAGGTTGGCAACGTTGTGGAGTTGCTGAGTGAGAAGGGATAGAGATAAAAGGTGCAGTGCAAAGAAAGACAAGTGCAAGAAAGAGTGCAATATAAATAGAAAAGTTGGGAACAAAAAAAATGAGATTTTATAAAAAGGATTCAAGATATCATTGATTAAAATTAAAGAAATAATTGCAGTTACATTGCAAGTATTTTCAAATAAAAATTAAATTTAATGTATTTTATAATTTATTTCTTCAGGTTAATAAGATGTAAAAACGGTTTGTATACATGAAAATAAATCTGTAGATTTCTTTTGAAATTCTGAAAATTTAGTTCATATAACTTTTAAAATTTTTTCAGTATTTAGGTGAAACCTAAAGCACATAATTTGTATTTTCTATTTTGCTAATCTACTTACAGCAATCAGTTTCATCTGATGCATCAGAACAATCTAAGATTTGATCACATTTTCTGCTAGCTTCTATACATTGTCCATTTTTACATTCAAACTGGTTAGGTTGACAATATTGTGAGGTGGCTGGGTGAGAGGAGAAAGAAAATAAAAGATAAAGCGCAAAGAAAGTAAAATGCAAGAAAAAGTGCAATATAAAGAGGCAGACAAAGAACAAAAAGTACAAAATCTTACTGAAATGATTTATGATCATATTGAAAAGAAATAATATATGACAATAATTACTTGCAATTTTTAAAAATCAAATTCAAAATTTTTTTATATTTTATTAAGTAAAATATTTAAAGGTTAATAAGAAGAATGATATCCAACTGTGTAAAAATATAAGATTTAGTTTATTAAATATTTTTTATTATTTAATTTAAATATAAATTAATCATAGAGTTCCTATTCATTGCTAATCTACTGGCTAAACATGTCTTCAACAAAATATTGGCTAGATTTTCTTCTTGCTTCTATACATAATAAATTTTTATACTGAAATGACTTAGATTGGCAATATGCTTTTGCTCAGTGAGTTAGGAACAAGAAATAAAAATGTCTTCAACAGTTCATGTGAAACAGTTTACGTATGTATGCATGCATGTATACGAAACAGTTTACGTATGTATGCATGCATGTATACGAAACAGTTTACGCATGCATGTATACGAAACAGTTTACGCATGCATGTATACGAAACAGTTTACGCATGCATGTATACGAAACAGTTTACGCATGCATGTATACGAAACAGTTTACGCATGCATGTATATGAAACAGTTTACGCATGCATGTATACGAAACAGTTTACGCATGCATGTATACGAAACAGTTTACGCATGCATGTATACGAAACAGTTTACGCATGCATGTATACGAAACAGTTTATGTATCTATGTATGTATACGAAACAGTTTATGTATCTATGTATGTATACGAAACAGTTTGTATGTATCTATGTATGTATACGAAACAGTTTGTATGTATCTATGTATGTATACGAAACAGTTTGTATGTATCTATGTATGTATACGAAACAGTTTATGTATCTATGTATGTATACGAAACATTTTGTATGTATGTATGTATGTATACGAAACAGTTTGTATGTATGTATACGAAACAGTTTGTATGTATGTATGTATGTATACGAAACAGTTTATGTATGCATGTATGTATACAAAACAGTTTATGTATGCATGTATGTATATATACAAAACAGTTTATGTATGTATGTATGTATATATATATATATACAAAACAGTTTATGTATGTATGTATATATACAAAACAGTTTATGTATGTATGTATATATACAAAACAGTTTATGTATGTATGTATATATACAAAACAGTTTATGTATGTATGTATATATACAAAACAGTTTATGTATGTATATATACAAAACAGTTATGTATGTATGTATGTATGTATGTATATATACAAAACAGTTATGTATGTATGTATGTATGTATGCATGTATATATACGAAACAGATTATGTATGCATGTATATATATGAAACAGTGTATGTATGTATGTATATATAAAACAGTTTATGTATTATGTATATATACAAAACAGTTTATGTTTATGTATATATATACAAAACAGTTTATGTATATGTATGTATGTATGTTTATGTATATATACAAAACAGTTTATGTATGTATGTATATATACAAAACAGTTATGTATGTATGTATGTATGTATGTATGTATATATACAAAACAGTTTTATGTATGTATCTGAAACAGTTTATGTATATGTATATATAAAAAGTTTATGTATGTATGAAACAGTTTATGTATGTATACGAAACAGTTTATGTATGTATACGAAACAGTTTATGTATGTATACGAAACAGTTTATGTATGTATACGAAACAGTTTATGTATGTATACGAAACAGTTTATGTATGTATACGAAACAGTTTATGTATGTATACGAAACAGTTTTATGTATGTATACAGTAAACAGTATTTATGTATGTATACGAAACAGTTTATGTATGTATGTATGTATACGAAACAGTTTATGTATGTATGTATATATACGAAACAGTTTATGTATGTATGTATATATACGAAACAGTTTATGTATGTATGTATATACAGTTTATGTATGTATATGAAACAGTTTATATATATATATGAAACAGTTTATGTATGTAAATGTATATATATATATGAAACAGTTTTATGTATGTATATATATATAGTTTATGTATGTATATGAAACAGTTTATGTATGTATACAGAAACAGTTTATGTATGTATATGAAACAGTTTATGTATATATATAAAACAGTTTATGTATGTATATATATATATAAAACAGTTTTATGTATGTATATATATATATGAAACAGTTTATGTACGTATGTATATATATATATGAAACAGTTTATGTACGTATGTATATATATATATGAAACAGTTTATGTACGTATGTATATATATATATGAAACAGTTTATGTACGTATGTATATATATATATATATATATATATATATATATATATATATATATATATATATATATAGTATATATATGAAACAGTTTATGTATGTATATATATATATGAAACAGTTTATGTACGTATGTATATATATGAAACAGTTTATGTACGTATGTATATATATGAAACAGTTTATGTACGTATGTATATATATGAAACAGTTTATGTACGTATGTATATATATGAAACAGTTTATGTACGTATGTATATATATGAAACAGTTTACGTATATAAGGACAGGCAAGTTTCTAATATAGGTAACATAGACAAACTTTATGTTTGCCACGTGGGTAAGAGGGGTTGTAAAAATGAAGTTGGCCATGATTTCCCTATGTCCTGAAGGGGGCATGCCATTAAAAAATTGTAGAATAAAAGGGTATACTAAACACTATATTTGAACGTTAATATTAATAAAGCCAAGCTTCAGCTAAGTGCATGGCTATGGAAGAAATATGGCAAGGAAGTTGAATATTATGTTTTTAAATATTAGTTTGCTCTTTTAAGCAATAAATTGTACTAAATTACATTATATTTTTCAAGTTTTCTAACAAAGATACAGAGATGCCTGATGATTCCAGTTAAGACATCACTGATGATACTTCTCCAGCATATCAGCAAGCGTATTTTATAAATTATATGCTGCATATTAGACTGTTACTTACTACAATCTTGTTCATCAGATCCATCAGAACAATCAAATTGTTGGTCACATTTTCTGCTAGCTTCTATACATTGTCCATTTTTACATTCAAACTGGTTAGGTTGGCAACGTTGTGCAGTGGCTGAGTGAAAGAAATTTAAGGTGCAATGCAAAGATGGGGAAGTGCAATATAAATAGAAAGATGGAGAACAAAATATATATAGTTTTAGTGAAAGGGTTTATAATATGGAGAAGAATTAAGAGTCAATGACAAACATACAATTAGTCTCTTATTTTCAAATCAAAATTGAATCTAATGTATTTTATTATTTCACCAGGTAAAATTTTAGAAATGAAAATGAATTTGTAGAAATTTTATTTTCCCTTGGAACATTATTTTTTTTCTTAATATTTAATTTAAACCTAAATCATACAAATTTATTTATTCTATATATTGTTAATACATTTACTGCAGTTAGTTTCATCTGATGTATCTGAACAATCAATTTTGACATATAAATTGGTTAGATTGGCAATGTTGTGTAACTAAGAAAGTGTTAAAACATATGACGTAATCTGAGCTAAATACCAAGAAAATATCCCATAATTGTTTAAGAAAAGGGTATATTATAGAGTATATTATATATATGATAAGAAAAGGGTATGTTATACAGTATATTATATATAATCAAAGTTTATATTATACAGTATATTATATATAAGAGAAAGGATATGTTATACAGTATATTATATATTACAAGAAAAGGGTATGTTATACAGTATATTATATATTACAAGAAAAGGGTATGTTATACAGTATATTATATATTACAAGAAAAGGGTATGTTATACAGTATTATATAAAAAAAGGGTATGCTATACAGTATATTATATATATTATAAGAAAAGTTTATATTATACAGTATATTTGAATATGGATATCAACACCAAGCTTAGTTAGACACATGATATTGAGAAAATATGGTAGTGAGAACATTATGTATTATGAATTTTAATTTTTTTTTAAAAATATTCTAGTTGTATATATGGCTGCTACTTACGACAATCTTGTTCATCAGATCCATCAGAACAATCAAAACGTTGGTCACATTTTCTGCTAGCTTCTATACATTGTCCATTTTTACATTCAAACTGGTTAGATTGACAACGCTGTGCAGTGGCTGGGTGAGAGGTGAAATAAATTTAAGGTGCAGTGCAAAGATGGAAAAGTGCAATATAAATAGCAAAGTGGGGACCAAAATGAATAGAATCTTAGTGAAAGGGGTTTATAATATTATAAAGAAGAATTAAGGATCAATGGAAAATGTACTGTTAGTCTTTTTTCAAATCAAAATTAAATTTAATGTATTTTATTTCTCCATGTTAATGAAAGGTTGTTAAAATAAAAATGAATTTGTAGAAATTTTATTTTCATCCTTTAGAATATTTATTTATTTAGTATTTATTGAAAAGTGCAAGAAACACTGCCTTATAAATAGGTTAAAATGATATGATGTTATAAATATAGAATATAGTTTAAGTTACTGTATTATGTATAAACTGACTTCATGTATAATGTGACCCTTAATTTTTTTGCATGAATTTTAATGCCTCCAGAAAAAATATACCTGTGTAAAGTGTAACCAGTCACTAAAAATACATGATTTTTAACTACTTCAAAAAAAAATTGTACAAACCCTTATTTTTTGTGTAAAAAATGGATTATAAAAACTTGCACCATACTCAAATATATATGGTACATTGTTGGTAAAATTTTTAAATAAAAATTAAATTTGATTTACTGTATGTTTTCTATGTACAGATGTTAAAAAAATTATTATAAATTAATTTTTGAAAGTATTTTCAAATTTTGAAATATTACTTTTTATTCTTAATATTTAATTTAAAACTCAAACAATTTTATACTATCTGTACATGTCTCATTTACTTACTACAATTTATTTAATCTGATGCATTAGAACAATGAAAATATTGGTCATATTTTCTGCTAGTCATATACACTGTCCATTTTTACATTACTGGTTAAGTTGGTAAATAAATAAGATGAAGACAGAATAGTAAACAGGGAAAATGAGTGAATATGATTGCAAAATCTATGATACAGACATTATACACTGGTTAAAATTAGACCTCTTTCTGATTCAATCAACATAAAAACCTATCAGCTGGATGTGAATACTACAAAAGCAAAATTAAAAATTAAAGTCATTCTTCGCACAGGGGCTCTGAGCATCACACCTAGCTCACAAAACAAATCCTCTAAGAATATAAAATAAAACTTTAATATCAGAGTCAATCATGAACATTGGCTCTAAAACATGACAAAAAAAATTGTGTCATGTATTCACCCTGACTGGTTAAAAGAATCTGTTTGGCAATACTAGTGTAGTAAACAGGCAGTTCACCAGTGGCCTCTTTTTCAACTGACCCAACACAAGCTTCACAACTAACTCTCATCTTCTAGACCACCGACCTTGCCCACAAAGAGACATTCTTCCTTGATCCATTATTCAGGCAATACAAATAGTTTTATATTAACATATTTTGTCTCCTTTTCTTTCTGCCTCACCTGCAAAACTGTTGTTTCATTTGTTACTTTTGCAACCATTCACTGTATATAACATAGGTATCAAGTAAATGCTATCAGAGCAAGTAATACAAATACATAAAGATTATATCTAAATTTTGTAAATAAGATGAAGGCATTTGATAGGGTATGACATGAGGAACTCTTTGAAATGAGGGAAGCTTGATTTACTTGAAAAAGATATACATGTAATTCATAAGCTCCATCGAGAATAAACAGCTTGCATGTAGATAGAAAATGAGTTTAGTGAATACATCTTTTATACTCCACTTCAGATTAAATCCCTTTCAGATTCACTCTACACGTTGGCTGGATATGAACGTTAAGAAAGCAAAACACAAAATAAAAAAAAGTTGTCCTCTTTGCAGGGACTATGAGCATCACATCCAAACCACAAAACAAATCCACTCAAAAATCTAAAATACAACACAAAAGAAGTCAATTGTTGACACCAAAGAAAAAAGCTACCAGATTTGCTTTTAAGAAAGCTTCTCACAAATGATTGAGTCAGATTCACAGTGAACAGCAAGCTTCACTAATCCACTCCAGGTCTCTTTTGATATCACCACTGTGACATCAGTCATCTGACCTGACAAATGCTATAACTCCAGACCTTACCAACAGTATCCTTTAAAAGCTACCTTCCTTGCCTACATTAGAGACATTCCACTCACATCTGCTGTATTGGTAAAACAAAAGAATTTTATATTTACAATTGCCTTCGCTTCTTCATTGTCTTCAGAAAACATGGTCATCAAAGAATGAGACAGTTCAAGTAAGTTATTTAATCAAGGATATCAATCTCAAGCAAGTTCAAAAATTTAACTATCTGCTTAAAGTAGTAACAGATGACAAAAAGTATGACAAAGGAATCTGAAGGTACATAGGAATAGCAAATGACAAGTATTATTGGAAAAGCCATTTGTTGAACTGCTATGTAAATGCCTGATATATTGGAAAATGCCATTAGACTTGAAAAAGATGGTTCTGCAAACAAATGATGAGAATATCATAGACAATTTATGAGAAATGGGAAAGTTTTATGGATAACATAAACTACAAAGAAACTGCTGCTAACAATCAAAAAGGAAAAACCAAAATTTTGGAAAACATAACAAGGATATTTCCTTGTTATGTGTTTAACTTACTAACCAATCTGAATAAATGTAAGGGACACAAAAGATCACAAAAACAAAGAAACATGGTAAAGGGGAAAAGATTATACAGATTAAGGAACTTGTGGATAACCATGATCACCCATGTCACAAAAAGCAATGGCATATGAAAGTATTTACAACATTAACTACTATTAGTATTATATTTGCTTTATCAATGCATCTTTCAATGTTTTATCTTGTCATTTATTAAAGTTTGTTTAACAGTGAATACTCAACAGAGATGATTTAATGGCAACCAGCAAAACCTTTTTCTTTTTGTTTTAAACTTTATGCCCTTTATTTCTTCCCTCTCTCTCTATATCTTTTCTACTTACTACAATTGGCTTCATCTGATGCATCAGAACAATCAAATGCTTGATCACATTTCTTGCTAGCTTCTATACATTGTCCATTTTTACATCTGAATTGGTTAGGTTGACAACGTTTTGAAGATGCTATGTCAAAGATTGAAAAGACAAACTCAGTTTATATACAGAGACATAAAGAGATCATATTAAACTTTAACTTGAAAAGTAAATGTCAAGATCTGACCAAATTTGAATAAGAACATTTGTCTGTCCCGTTATTTTGCACATAGTTTAGAAAATAGATGTTAACATTATTTAAGTATTGTTACTCTACATTTTTTGTTTTTTCACAAGCTGATTCTATACATATTAAGTAAAATATCTTATTATTATAAAGATTGTTTGATAACAAAAATAATAAAGGCACCACATTGTCATGTATTTTTTCTATATTCACGTTGTAATTATCACTAATATTACTTACTGCAATTGGCTTCATCTGAACCATCAGAACAATCACTGTAACTGTCACATTTGTAACCAGCATCTATACACTGTCCATTTTTACACTGAAACTGGTTAGGTGAACAACGCTGTGCAGTGGCTGAGTGGGAAGTGAAAGAAAGACACACAAATTGAGGTGCAGTGCAAAGAAAAATAAATGCAATGAAAAGGTAAAGATTCTGAAGAAAAAGTGCTGTGTTAATGTAGATTTTTACATATAGTCTCAGTTTATTATTAGAAGATATTAGTAATTTTTTTAGAATTAATTTGCTGTTGGGCACACTTATATTGTTTGCCTATTCAAAACAATTGAACACGAGCCTTCAAACAACATAACTTTCTTTATTACAACAATTTTGTTAATCTAATCTGTCAACACAATTATAACGCTGGTCACATTTCTGGTTAGTTCACTAGCTGACCTCTTTTACATTCAAAATAGCTTTACAATGTTGTGCAATTACAAGGTAAGAGGTGAGAATCAGTCAAAGAAATCACATGTACACAATTTTCATAGTCATTAAAAAAAATCCAATGTTATAGAAAAGTAGAAAAGAATAAATGGAGATCAATCATTTTGTAACAATTAAAATCTGTCTTGAAACTGAAAAATTATGATTCTAAGTTCAATCTTATTTAATAAATCAGCAGAAGATTAGATGTGTACTGAAGATTTTAATATTTTATGAAAGCTTAACAAAGTTCAAAACCAGTTTCCTTTTGTATATTTATTCCAGATTTATGAAATTGATATATGGAAAAAAAAAAAAGATACCTTATATACTTTCAAATACAATAAATGCAGTTATATATATTAAAGAAAGTTTGTATGTTTAATGTCATACATGATAAACTTAATAAACCATTCCATTACATTTGTCAACAAAAATTGTTGCAAAATTTCAAAAAGATCATAATCAGATCTTTTGTCTGAATTTTGATGGACAAGATATTTTAAGCATTTTATATGGATTGGTTTGAAGAGGGTGATACAGTGGCACTTTATAAAATGAAGTAAAAATAATAGCCAGGAAATAACATGAAAAAATATGAAGGTTCAAAGAATCTGCACATATACTGTACTCAGATCATTTGAACAATAAAAGTAATTTGTGAGTCATTAATTAGGAAAGAACAAGTGATAAACTTGGGGTCCCAGAAGCATGATCAGAGATATTCGAATGTCAGAAAAGTTCAAGGAGTTCATTGGAAGGGTTCTATGCAGAGAAGAAAATTCAAAGACCACACAGGTGTAGGCATCAAATGTGATATATATGATGGGAAATGTATGTCTCCTTGAGCAAAATTCAAAATACCAAATCACAATAGATACCCACAGAAGCCTTGTGTCTATAGAATCAAAAGTTTTTGATAAAATAAAATAACAAAGATAAGATAATAGATCCAAACCAACGAATGATATAGTTACATCTTTAGGTGCCATTCAGCAAAGTATGAAAATCTGATAATTGAGTAAATGGCCTGAATAAACCCTGAATATGTATAAATTTAATTTCTGTCTGCATTAAGAAAATAAGAATTCAAATTTTGATAAATTTGTGTACTTTTTTTACTTCATATTACAAGAATGAGAAATTAAACACAATTCCGTCATATATTTGCCAATTTTTTCCAAATGAGCTATAAGAAAAAAACAAACAAACAAAAAAAAAAAAAAACTAATTTGAGAATTATTGAAATACAAGCAAAACATTTTAAAAATCATTTCAGAGAAAGAATTTATGAAAATAAAATTTTTCTGATCAATATTTCAAAGTAATAAAATGTTGATAAGTGTTCAATTTTTGTTATTCTGATTATTTTAGAATACTTACTACAATTGGCTTCATCTGACCCATCAGAACAATCATTGAAACTATCACATTTGTAGATTGCGTCTATACATTGTCCATTTTTACACTCAAACTGGTTAGGTTCACAACGTTGTGTAGAGGCTGAGTGGGAGGTGAAACATACAAAATGTGAGGTGCAGTGCAAAGAAAGGGAAGACATTCAAGAGTAAAAGGAATTGGCAATGTATATTTAAAGACAAAATCAATAATTGATCCTTTTGATTTCTGATATCTTACTTAGCATAAAAACTACATTTTGGGCAAACTTTAACATTTGTGCCCCCAAAAAACTGATATGTCAAAGGGTCATTTTTCCCTTGACACTACTAATATTTTGTACTAACTTCACTCTTACAGCAATGTTTATTGATAAGATTATAAAAAATATGTGAATCAAGTACAATGTGATATTTATTATTTACTTTTTATAAAGATTTATTTATAAAGTTTATGAATAAAAAAATTATTTTCATATTTTTTTCTTTATAAATTGATAAATGATAAACATTGCATTAGTTGGTTCACATTTTTAGAACGTTGTTAATATAAAATTATTCTTCTAAATAAACAATAGTGTTTAATATTTTTGTTGTAAATGATCAAAGAAAATGTATAAATTTACTTTCATATGTTTGAGTTTTATTAAATTTCTAAGCATCACTTTTTTAAACAACAAACATTGCTGAGGGAGTGAATGTAGTTAAAATGATAGCAATGTCAAAGGAAAACCTGTCCTTTTGACACAGAGTTTTATCGCAGGTATGAAAGTTAAAGATTGACTATTTTTGTTATATACATTAATTATTTGAAATTTCTGATGTACCTAATTGAAAATAAGGAAAAATAGAAACATATTATGTGAATTATTTTGGTTTTTGATATGATTAACAAAAGAATTATTGAGTCAATCATTTCTTTTACTTGGTTGATATGTTCTTCAGTTATAATATTTGAAGAACAGATCCATTAGATAAAGTAACACAGTATATTTTGAAATACTTAAATGTAATCAGAAAACAATGCTTGAAAATAAGTGAAAAAGTATTAAAATAGTGAGGAAGTAAAAGCTAAAAATGGTGATAATACCATAGATTCAATTCTCAGAGATAGACACATAACAAAAAAAAATAATTTTGTGCTACTTAAATCACTTAAAATAGCAAATTTTAGGATGAATAACAATGCTATAAGGAATGAATACTAATTAACTTTTAATACTTTCATTTAGTTATTTACTTTAATATGGCACACAGTATTTTCAAGGTATTTATATTACAGGTTGAGAATCATTTATCCAAGATTCTTGGGACTGGGAGTGTTTTGTTTTTCAGATTTTTTTCAATTTTGGAATACAGGCTATTTAATTTGTATATAACATCAATAAAATGAGGCAGCTTGAGAATGGGGCCCAAGCATAAATATCCCTTCACATTTCATAACATAGCTTATACATATACCCTGAAGGTAGTTTTATATAAATAACATATACCCTGTTAGTAGTTTTATATAAAATTTAATAAATTTTGTCTATGTAAAGATACAGGTAATGATGTTAGTCATTTAATGCTAAGACAGATTTTTAAGTGGCGAAATTAAGATTTAATGTGAAAATAATGTTTTGTACTTTCTCTATGTACATAAAAAAAAACATGATCAAAAAATATATAAATGCAATGCCAAACACTACTTCGACATCAGATGTGAGAAACTCGAGGGAAAAGGTACATCATCAAGGATATCATCAAGGATATCACCGAGGGTGAGAAGGAAAATTCAGTAAGCTATCAGTCTCTACCAACGATGTCGTGTTTTGATTAAAATTTGACAATACATACAGGTACAGTATTTGTATAAACACAAAAATGAAGTTAAATTTAATGAAAACTGAACAAAAGTCAGCATTTTATTTGTAACACTGCAACACATCAATCATGCAACAGGTAGCCATGTTGCTTTCTGAAATTTTCAATTTGTGGCAAGTCATGTCAGCACCTGAAAAACGTATGGATTTTGGAGGTTTTTCGATTTCGGAATTTTGGATAAAGGATACTCAACCTTTACTTGCTATTCTTAAGTGGTCCGCCATTCAAGTACTAACTGGGCTTGTAATTGCTTTATTTCAAGAATCTATGAGTGTTTTGAACATAAGTAATAATAAAAAAAAAATACTCCGAAATATTTTCTCTTACAAAGACACAATCAGTTGAACTTAATTTTAATTTCAGTGATTAAGAAAAAATAGCATTGATTTTTCTTTTATGGTCAATATGTTTTTAATCTACTTATGACAATTGGTTTCATCAGATCCATCAGAACAATCAAAATTCTGATTACATTTTCTGCTAGCATCTATACATTGTCCATTTTTACATTCAAACTGGTTAGGTTGGCAACGTTGTATGATAACTGAGTAAGAGGTGAAAGAAATTTAAAATGTGATGCAAAAACAGGCAAGTGCAGGAAGAAGTGCTATAGGTATTTTTGGAACAAACAAAAGTATGAAATTTTATTTGAAGGATTCATATAAGAATTAAGGAATAAATGACAAACTCAATATTAGTATTTTTAAATTAGAATGTAATTTTAACATGTAATAATTTTGTTTCAACATTTTTCAGGTCAATAAGAAAATAAAAATGAAACTTAATCTGCAAAAGATTTTTTTTGATATATTGTAAAATTACATATTTTTAAAAAATATTTAATTTAAATTGCCAGTATAAAATTTTATGCATTTCCCATAATGTTTATTTAGTTACTTTAGTGTTCTTTATAAGATTCAACAGAATTAAATTATTGTTTACATTTTTTCTGCTAGCCTCTGTAGATTGTCCACTTTTATATTTAAACTGGATAAATGGGCAATATAAGAGAAAATTAATACGGATGCACAGAATGTGAAATAAAGTAGACTGCACTGGATATAACATTTAAAAAGTAATATAAATGCTTTTCAGTCTGGATTTCTGGTATGTGGAGTAAACATTATTTACACTATTTATATTCAGACTATTGTCAACATGTATACTGAAAGGTACAACAGCTAAAATGTTGAGACAACAAAGATGAGGACTGTACAAAAGTAATCGAGAGTAATCTCCCTTGTTTTATAATTACCTCCCTTTGGAGAACTCTTTCGTTTGTAGAGGACTATAAATAATCACTGTTTGTATCAATTATTCTAAGCAAAATAAAGCTTCCTTAAGCCTACTCCTGCTCTCTTTTGTTTTTACAAGGACAATAGTCAAAATATAAATAGTGTAAATAAACTCTTAACTTAAAAATATCATTACAAGTTATAAAATTATTACTTTCATGAAAATGTTAAATATGATAAATAAAATTTTTAATATATTTGTAAATTTTCAGTTAAAGTAAACCAGAGATGTCAGAAATAATATGCGAAATATTAAACAATGAATAACATTTCTAAATAAGACCTAAGAATATAATTTTAAAAATTTAAGAGTATAATATCTACTTACAACAATCTTCTTCATCTGACCCATCAGAGCAATCATATTGTCTGTCACATTTCTTGTTATTGTCTATACATTGACCATTACTACATTGAAACTGGTTAGGTTGACAACGTTGTACAGTGGCTAAGGGAAAGGGGAAAGTGAGACACAGAATGTGAGATGTGGTACAACATAAGACAATGGAAAAGATCAGGTAAGAAAAAAAACAACGATGTAATGGAAAAAGGCATTCAGAGTTTGATTAAAATTTGTGAATATTTTGTCTTTCAGATGGTGTAATGAAAGCCAAGAATAAATTTACATTATTGCTTTTGAAAATGATATGGCTATTTAAATAATTACATGAATTTATCATGGCTGTTATGCACTATTAATAGGATTAGTTGAAAAATTTAGAGAATATATCATTTTTGTTCTAAAAGCATGCCTAGTCTGAGGATTTGAACAAAATGTTGAGTATGTCTTTAAGGTGATCTTGAGAAGCTATTAAATTACTTCTTTCTGTTGCTGCTGATTTAAATGCAATTAGCTTCTATGTAGATGTAACAATTTTAACTCATTTTAAATGTTTAACCCTGTTAAGTCTACAGTGTAGACAACATGTACTATATGGAATTGCTAATCCAACACAAAACACTTTTTTAAAAATTGCAGATTATTATTCATTATTCCCACAAAGTTAAAAGTATATGATAAAAAAATATATAAATATCAGTCATAAATGTTATATAAAATGGTAATTATAAATTATAATCAGAATTGATATCATTGGAAAATAATATTTAATATTTTGTAAATTACTGAAAGAAAATTGCATGACTTGCAGCTTAAATGAAATATTTATAATTTTGTTTATCCAACAAAATTGAATGACAAACTATCTTTTACAGGTATTAAGATTTACTCAAAATATGTAATAAATAAAAACATGGACAAGGTAAATCTTAGAACAAAAGATGGTATTTTTGCATGTTATTTTAATTTAAAAGTAATTGTTGATAAGTTTTAAAACTGATTTACTAAAAATGTAATCTTACAGTTATAAAGTGGAATTAATTTGCTAGATTAATAAAACAGGTACACTTATAAAATGTGTATTGCAATATTCTTAGAGATTTTATCTTTAAAAAGTATTTAAAGTTGTACTATTTATTCTTTTTTGACTACTTACTACAGTTGCTTTCATCTGATGCATCAGAACAATCATAACGTCGATCACATTTCTTGTTAGCATCTATACACTGGCCATTTTTACATTCAAACTGGTTAGGTTGACAACGTTGTACAGCTAAGTAAGAGGTGAAATAGAAATACTTATGAGGCTGTAGGTAGACATTCAGCATCAGATTTTGAATAATAGGCGTTGAAGCAGAACTAATACTTGAATGATATTTATAGTATATAGTTGAGATTGAACCTCACTAATCCAGCATTCTCTAGTTTGGCAGATTTAAGCTGCTGATTTGAGGATTATTTTATTTGGGTATGAACAAAAAAAAAATGCCAACAAGAAATTGACAAAAGAAAAAACCTAAATAGTATAAAAGTTAATTTTATCGTTAAAATCTTTGTGCCATTAGTAACCAGAAAGATTAGAGAAAATTTTGATATAAAAAGTGTGTACAATCTATAGGTGATACTTGTGAAAAGATGCTTGCTCAGGCACATTTGTGTTTATTCAACACCCACAGAGCCCACCTGTAGTTTATACTGCAACTATGCTGAGCAGACCTTAGTTACAGTTTCTGGGAAAGAGCGTATTATCTAGCGTGATCCAGAATTTGAACAAGGCCAGCATGCTCAAGCTCTCGGCCATGATGACTTGTGACTTTGCGCTAGCACAGCTATTGATGGCTCCCAAGGGTTCTGTCTACTCAATTTCACTCACAAGGCTTTGGTCAACCTGTGGTTTCAGGCACTTTCCAAAGGTGCTGCACACTGGGATCAAACCCCAACAGTCCGATAACATCAGGAAGTCTCCGTCCTGACAAATCAACCATGGCAAGATTTGAACCTGGGTCTCATGGTCAGAATGTGAACGTTCTAACAACTCGTCAATGTGTCCACGTAATAGTGTAAAAAGCAAAGAAAAAAAAAAAAAATAATTTGTATCAGAAAGTTTTTAGGTGAGAAACATCTTTATTTTGAAAATTTACTAAAGATCAATTAAACATTAAATTTTAATCCAATTTTTTTGAACTTATACAAGATGAAAATTATGTAAAAAGTTTCCATTTTAAATTTGGTAGAGAAGTGCATTTTTTTTTTTTTTGCATGTGATTACACACTTTCTTAATTTGATGATTTATATTACTTAAAATGTTGAATATAAAGTAAATATAATGAATAATAGTAGTAAAAAAAAGTATAATAAAAGTAGCATTATCAGAGACATGGCAATGATATACTTTTGGTTGGAATTTAACTTAATTTTATTTATCAAAATCTTTCCAAATTTCAGTTTATCAATACATCACAGCCAGAAGTATACATCTTTATGCAATGAGTTTTTTTTTATTGTTTGGATTTTGTATCATTCAGATACGTCTTAAAATAATATTAAAATAAATCTTTTAATATTATGAGTTAATATAAATTAGTTAAAACATGGTTATACTACAAAGACTCATAGAAGATTATTGTTAAAAAAGAAATACTTTTATCAAATTTGATTTTTAATTTATTATTTTTAAACAAAAATGAATTTAAGTAAGTATATCCAACCTATCTGATACCATTGTTTGTCTTCATTTGTTTATTTACTATTTTTTATCTCTACTTACTACAGTTGCTTTCATCTGACCCATCAGGACAATCATAACGTCGATCACATTTCTTGCTAGCATCTATACACTGGCCATTTTTACATTCAAACTGGTTAGGTTGACAACCTTGTCCAGAGGCTGGGTGAGGGGTGAAAAAGAAGTATCCAACATAAAGAATGATACAACATGTAGATAGTGATTTTCTAATCACAGCTTAGATGTGGCACAAGGCCGAAAGTATGGGGCACCCAGTGAGGATTGAACTCACTTGTAATTGATCTAGCAAAACAAGCTTTCTAACCATTACACCACGTCGAGGTGCCCAATACAACATGTAGATAGCTAAATGCAACAGGGTGCAGTGGTCGTGTACGGTAGATAGTTTAATTAAGCAACTGCATTTTAGGCAGAAAATCATAAAGCAGAAAAGCGATTACATTTTCAGTGGTTCATATTTTGTAGATCAAATGAAATATTCTCAATTTTTTCTCAATATAGTTTTGGAAAACCACTTCCAATGTATAATAATTTCAGAGAAAAGATGCCATTTTTAAATAGAAGACAATGGTTGCATTTTTCTTCATATTAAATTATTAGGATTCCAAAGTTATGGTAAAGGACATAAAAGAAAAATATATAAATAGCAGTTTTTAAGTTATTCCTCTAGATAGACAATATAATTGAATACGATATTGTTATTTTTACCTTTAATGGACAAGGACAAAAAATAAATAAAAACTGCCCTTCACACTAAAGGATGGTTGGCAGCCATATTTACCATAACTGGAGTAAATTTTATCTCTAAAAAAATAACAAGCATATTGCTCTCAAGGAAATAATATACATAAATTTCACAGCTATCATGGATATTTGAACCTTTTATATAATGTCATTTATATTTTTGTTAATTACAATAAGAAATTACTACCTATAACTACTTATTTTTTTAATCATTTTACCAAGGCAATAAAGCCACTAGGATGCAAGGGGTTACTGAGTGATAGAAAATATGAGAACAACTACTATTAAGGAGAGAGAACAATAAAATAACAAAAATTAAGACAACAGAAGATAACGATTGACATTTAATTAAAATTTTTTAAGAGTAATGTTGACTGGGCAGCTCAACAAAAAAGTGAAAAGTGCAAGAGAAGGAACTATTAGCATAGAAAATGGTTACATCTAGCCAATTCAACTGTAAACTGATGAGACCTATCTGCCAATCTAGTACTGTGCTTAAATTCATAAAGCCTAGGTACCATAGAAGAAATGTTCATTAGAACAATTATCATGAAAGTATTTATAGAAAAGTCACAGGGAAGCTATGTTACGGTCGTGGGACTGAAGGAAAGATGCTAGGTCAGGACCAATAACATTTCAGATTCTTTGGATTTTATCAAAAATCTCTAAATATATAGCCAGAGCACCAAACCATATGTGGCAGCAATATTCAAAGCATGGTCTTATAAATATCTAAGATAGATTCTGGAAAAAAATTTTCTAGCATGACACAGTAAACCAACTTTCTTAGCAGCAGACGTAGCAATTGATTCAATCTTTCCACTTTATGTTAGTGGAAAATGTTATTCTGAGAAGGCACAATGAATCACTCTTCTGGAGGCTACCATCAGCCATGCTGATGGAACGTAGAAGGGGATCTCTCAGATGATTAATAGAGAGCAGTTTCATTTTGATTGATAGCAATGACCAGTCTAAGTATCTAGCTTCAATGTATACATAAAAGGTAAGTATATATTATATATCTTAGAAACTTTTGTTGATTGCTTAACAGTTGTTTTGTCTGACCCATCAGAACAATTATTTGCTACGTTTCTTGCAAGCATCAACACCTTGAAGATTCTTAAATTTGAATTAAGTAGGTGTTGTGGTAGGATCCACCTAATTTGCATAGTGCAGTACCGACCATATAAATATGGTTGGTACCGGGAAGAGAGGAAGGAATCAAGAGATTCAACCAGAGACTCTGCTCGACTGCGACTCAGTCAACACATTCTCCAGAAACGGTCTTCCCAAGAATATACAAAAGACTATATGTAAATATTGTGTACACTTTCTTGTTTCAATACATTTTGTTCTAAGTACATTTTGTGTTGCATTATTATTCCATGCATTAGTCAAGTTTCAACAGTAGGCTATGTTGTGCAGTTAAGTGAAATTTGGAAGTCACCACAAAAACATAAAAGAAATATCTAAAATGTTGCAAGACTTAAACAGTTGAAATATTTTTTCAGCCATATTTCAGTATAACAGAAGTTTTAAAAAAGAATTGATATAATGTTTCACAAATTCACTTGTACAAGCATCATTCTTTGAAATCAATTATATGTAGACAAACAAGAAACTAGTTGACTTTTGAAAGAAATATCAACATTCAAACAAATATCAACTCAGCATATACAAGTAAGATTAAGTCTTAGTTTACATGTTCATATGTGCTTCTATTTTTGTTACTATATTCAGGTGAGAGTAACTACAAAATTTATTCCAATACTGAACCATCCAACAGAAATAGATTATTTTTAAGCTTATAAATGCAGTAAAATTAGGATAGATTTTAAAATCAATTTGAATATTTTCAAACATTTAAACATTTTTTGATTTCTCTTAAAAATCCTGATGTCTAATTAAAATATTTGTTTGAAATATAAAAATGATATCATCATTTTAAGGAATTTCTTTTTTCATTATAAACATGTTGTATGCTGTTAGTAATTCGATTGAAAAATCTTGGATTTATAATATGATGAGAATTATCATGTCACATTGTGTTATTACTTATGGCATTCTTGTTCATCTGATCCGTCTGTTACATTTCTGGCTAGCATCAATACATTGACCATTTTTACATTCAAATTGGTTAGGTTGACAGCGTTGTGCAATGGCTGGGTGAGAAGGAAATTGAAGATATACACGGTGAGGTGCAGTGTGGTGACTGGTAGTGGTGGTGGTGGGGGGGGAAGGTGATGAAAATTGTGAAAAAGAATGAAATATCAAATACACATTACTTTATTGCTTGTCAGTATAAATCAGTGGTTCCCAAACTTTTATTTATTACAAAAAGTAATTTTATGAGATAAAAATAAAAATGTGATAAAAATTAAAAAAACAGAGAGAGTTAAAGGGAGATAACTGCGGATTCGAAGTTAGAACAGTATCATTGATAACTCTCTCTTCTAATTTGCAGACCATAGTTTCTATAATCTTAATACTTGATATAATGCAAAAATATTACAAAGATAAAATTGGTCAATAATTATTTATAACTATTTATACTGGGACTCATGCATGCAATTACAAGTAAACCATAATAATATTTAAAATTTTGCGATCATATTTATTATTGGCATATGAATTTTTTGAAACAGTTTCCAAATCTTTGGCTTTCACTCATTCTACCTTATCGGCTATCCTCTTCAGCCATATCTATGAGGCACCATTTGGGAACTACTGATTTAAATCATTACTTTTACTATAAGATGCACGGAATAACTAAATACTTTAGAACAAAGGGCAAAGATAAATTATGTTACATTGTGTTATTACTTACGGCATTCTTGTTCATCTGATCCATCTGAGCAATCATAATGTCTGTTACATTTCTTGTTAGCATCAATACATTGGCCATTTTTACATTCAAATTGGTTAGGTTGGCAGCCTTGTGGAATAGCTGGGTGAGGAAATTGAAGATATACATGGTGAGGTGCAGTGCAGTGAGGGAGGAAAGGTGATGAAAATTGTGAAAAAAAAAAAAAAAATTAAATAGACCTTTTTCTTTTTGGTTAGTTTTTTTTTATGTAACTCATCACTTTGGTTACAGAACCAAAGAAAGGAATAAATGAAAATAATGAAAAATACAAGACAAAGACAAGAAAATAACCATTTTTCCCTTTTTAGCTTCTTTGTATAAACAGTGTGGAATTATGACAGAACTATTTGACAATGATTTTATAAGCAATCTTAATTATTTTTATAGCAGACTGTTCACAGACTATAATTGGAAACATGGAAATTAACTAATACTCAAGTAGAAAAAATAACAGGAAAAAAAAAATAGTTCTTCATTAATTGTATTGGCCAATAACTGAGTAAAATCACCCTGAATCATTTTGGGTATTTTATCAAATTTTAGGTCATTGCCAAGTTAATGAGAATTTATTCATAATGTAATGTGCTTTAAAAGTTAAAGCTTTACATATTCAACCATTTCATTAAGAATGAACTGAAAAAAAAAAAAAGAAAATCAGACATTTTTGTTAAAATTCTCATCTAATGATACATTTACTGAAATAAATTTTGAATTCTCTTGACCTAAACATAGTATTACTTACTACAATTGGTTTCATCTGACCCATCAGAACAATCATCATAGCTATCACATTTGTAGATAGAATCTATGCATTGTCCATTTTTACACTCAAACTGATTAGGAAGGCAACGTCGTGCAGTGGCTGGGTGAGAGGTGAAAGAGAAACATGTGAAGTGCAGTGCAAAGAAAAGGCAAACATATGGAGAAGAAAAGTGCATTGTTTAGGGAAATCTAAACATTAAAAAATCAACTTAATAATAGCATAGATTTATAAAGGTAATACCATTATCATACTATGTTAAATAAATTACAAATAAATACAATTTTTTTAATATAGAATTATAGATGACAAAAGAAAAAATTTAAATATTCAACAGAGATAAGTAATTACTTACATCATTTACAGTGTTTAGACTGTGGTTCTCATTTTTATTGTCATATTCACAATGTTTCAGCCATTGTACGCTTTGGCCTTTTTCAGGTGATTGGAAGATGAGGACAACAGTCCGAACAATGTAAATAATTACAATACTTCATCTCAGAAATATAGACAGAGAAATAAGTAAATCTTAGATTCTTTACATTATAATAAACATGTGGGGGTATTCCCTATCTAAAGCATGTATGTCCCACATCAAACATGTTAGTTTTTTTTTTCAGTGATTGCAGAAAAGGGTGTGGCAGTTGGAAGGATCACTGCTGTGTTAATTCGTTTTATCTCTACTTCTTCCACATGCTGTTTTCATCAGTGTAGGGCTCAATAAAGTGTAAGTGCTGAGAAAGCCCCCAAGCCTACACTGTGAAACATTTATTATGGAGTACAGTGTACATTTTATTGTCTACATACTTTAAACCACAGGTTCATTTGGATAAGCAAATGCAGATGATGACAGTTAAGATCCCTATGTTGTAGATTTTCTGTTACGTGTTTCTTCTAGGTTGTAGGGAAAATTAGTTGAAGAAATCTGATATTCCTAAAATGTGTAGCTCAACAGTAAAAATCTCATATGAAAGCTCCAATCATGGAATGCCTTCATAACAGCAGTTCTTGTGATAAAAGTTTACAGTTATGAAGTTTTAAATTATACTAAGCCCTTACAGTATATTCTATAGAAAATAACATTTACAACACATTAAATATCTTATCTACTTACGACAATCTTGTTCATCTGATCCATCAGAACAATCAAAGTTTTGATCACATTTTCTGTTAGCCTCTATACATTGTCTATTTTTACACTCAAACTGGTTAGGTTGGCAACGTGCAACAACTAGGAGAGAAATTCAGTAAGAGTTGTAAAGTAATTGATTTACAAACACTCCCCACCACCAAAAAATACAATGTTATATAAAAGTATTTAACTAAAACATTTTTAGTATAATAAACCAATTTTCTACTGAAATGAATAAATTAGAACTTTTAATAAAGGGAATTTATAGAGATAATTACAGTGCAACCTTGGTTCTTGAACAACTACATGTCGAACAAATTGCTTTTCAAACAGAAAATTTGAGATGAAAATGCCTCGGTTATTGAACAAAATTTTAGTTCTCGAACAACATTGCTGAACTGTGTTTACCCGAACAGAATAATTTCTGAGTCAACCACCATGTCGTATATATTTGTGTGTTGTGGTGTGCTTTTCTTTTCCAATTTTATTGTACTGTGACTTTTTTCTCTACATTGATTCCTATTGGAAAAAATTGTTTTGGTTTACAAACATTTCAGGTTATGAACAGCCTTCAGAAACGAATTAAATTTGTGAACCAAGGTTCCACTGTATCATGAAAAGTTGTCTTTGACTATTAAATATACTTTTTGGAATGTATTTTTCTTTATTTTTATAGGTAACAGCACTTCTAAAAATTCCATGGTTAATTTAATGAAGGATGTTATTTAATAATTTTAACATACTTTATCTCTTTGCTATCATATCAAGGACTGAAATGTCAAACATAAGAATCTAACTATTTAATAACTAAAATATTTTTTAGTATAGACTATTTAATTTTAGTTATACTTCTGTGTACATTTTGAATTGATGACTACTTATTACAGTCAGCTTCATTTGATCCATCATCACAGTCATAATATCTATTGCATTTCTTGTTAATGTCTATACACTTTCCATTTTTACATTCAAACTGGTTAGGGAGACAATGTTGTCCAACTAGGGAGAGGTGAAAGAAAGGCATACAATGTGAAAAATGGTGCTAAGAAAGGTGTATATCAGAAAAAGTGCAATAGTAGAAAAAGTAAGATTTTTTTTTTTTCTTTTTAGTAATTCATAACCGGTTAGTTAGAATAAGAGAGTAACAGTAAAGCTACAGTTATTACAAACTCTTCTCAATAAATATATGTCAATAGTATAATAATCAAAGTACTTTTTATGAATCCATTTAAATTCTATTAATTTGATATAACTAAGATAAATATTAAATCTGAGAGTACTTGGAGTTCATTGAAAAAACACTGTCAATTATTATTCATTTTTGATTAGCATTTTCTTCAAATTCTTATATTGCAACTCTCATATTGCTTTAAGATTTTATAATCTTTTTCAAAGTTGACAGTTAAATACTTACAACAATCAAGTTCATCTGAAGCATCTGAACAGTCAAAATGAAGGTCACATTTTCTGCTAGCATCTATACATTGTCCATTTCCACATTCAAATTCATCAGGTTGGCAACCTTGTGCAACTGGGTGCAGGGAAAGAGACACGTGATGAAGTGAGGTCACACAGTGCAAAGAGAAAATAAGCTAGTGCAAGAGATGTGCAATGCTAACATACATGCAAATAAACAACAACCATGCCTTTAGCGAATTTAGTAATTCATTATAGCAATTACAATTAGCATAATACATATTCAAGAATAAGAAAATATTCAAGGAATTTTGAAAGTAGATTTAAGTTGATATTCGATCAATATTGGGTGTGGTGATGGGTCATGATGTTGAAAAACCCCAAACCTCAGCTAAAAATCATGTGTGCCAAACCAATGCACTTCATAAAATAATATTTTTTATATGATATTTTCATTTGATATGTTTAATTTGTTTCTAAGGTGGTTTTGCATAAGTTTCCTAACAATGACAGTTTATCAGGCAGCATTTAAGCTAACTCCTGCGGAGGGTTCTTGATTGGGCCCTCATCTTGTTCAGGAGTTTGAGAGCCCCTAATTCTTTCCATATTCTCAGCATTGGAAGCTCTCCTGGCTGCCATTTCATCTTAGTTCTACTGAAAGTTTTGATGACTTTCTTTTCCTTGCTGCAGCCTTGGCTCTTGATTTCAATCTGGTCCTTTGTTGGCAGAGATTTCTTTTTACAAGGCATACTGCTGTCATATGGGATAGGCAACAATAAACTACAGCAGAACTTAAAATTGATCGCTGCGTTTAAGTATTGTATTAATGTATAAGCTTACCTTTTAAAAGTTCAACAATTCTTCTGCTGCTACTTAATTTAAAGAGAAATTTATGTACATAGGTCCTTACTTTCTGTACAAACAATTATTTTTATTTCATGGGTAACTTTCACTGGATTTCACAATTAATTTTGATCATTACCAAATTTATTTCCAAGTTATAAAAATTGTTATCATAGAAAAACATTTGTTGAAAAAAATGCCGTTAAGAAAAAAAAGAAAGAAAAATCACCGAAAACAATTGTTGTAATGAAAACTTGGGAATCCAAAATTTCTGTAACATGTGCTATTGAAAGTTAGAGAGTTGTGTCCCTTTAATTGAAAAAGTGTGACAGTGATACACTGACATTTATTATATAGAACAAGATGAGCTATTGAGAGTTGTGTCCCTTTAATTGAAAAGGGTGTGATAGACTGACACTATTTATATAGAAGAGATGAATGAAGATAAATTAAGTGACAATAAACATCAATAAAATAATGAAATTTAATGACATTTATGTTTTAATAAGAAACAGTAGTCACAATAGAAAAATATACAATTTATATGTAATACATTCATTGATGTTGTTTGGCAACACAGATATCAAACTGTTCTCCAGGTGAGAAAACAGATACATGTTCTTGCAAATACAGTTTTATATATAGAATATGAAATTCAATGGATTAGTATTATGATTTATGTAATACTCTTTTTTATTGGAAAATACTAAATGATCATTATTTAGACTGTTTCAATTTAAAAAAAATATGCTAAAGGAAATTAATTACAAGTTCAAAGTATTTCAAATTCTTATATTTCATTGAATATATATATATATATATATAAAAACTAATATTACATTAGATGTTTATTGAAAGAAACCCAAATATAAATCTTTTCCAGTTTATTTTTCATGAAAATGAGCAAAGAATGATGATATAAATAAATAAGCCAGATAACTCAAAGTTAGTAAGTAGCACTTTCTCATTTCTCATGAGAATCTTCAAGTCAGTTTAAGTAGAAATTTAACAACTATTTTAGTTACTTACAACAATCATCCTCATCTGATAAGTCAGCACAATCATAACGTCGGTCACATTTCTTGCTAACATCTATACATTGTCCGTTCCTACATTCAAACTGGTTACGTAGGCATCGTTGTTCAGCTAAAGAAAGGTAAAGGAAGACACACAAAACATAAGATGCAGTGCAAAGTGTAATAATACAAACAGGTGCAGGGTAAAGGTGACGTGTGAACTTCAGCAAAAAATGTATTTTGGAGCATTCATATATGATTTTGTAGTTTAATCAGTACCTTATTTTAAATATAAAATATCTTGGTTATGTATATAGCAAAAAGTTGGTTTTTTTTGAGATTAACTACAAAGAAACCATTTATTTAAGAGTTCAATGATATGTTATAAAAGCTTTCTTGAAATCTTTATCTAAGATCTATAGTTAGAATTTTAGTTTTTTTTTTTATAAATCTACCTTCCAGCAATTAGCTTTATCTGATAAATCAGAACAACATAATCCTGGAGTCTATTTCTTGCTATTAATACACTGTTTAATTTTAGATTTATGGTGGTTAGGTTAGCAATGGTGTACCACTGAGTGCATAGTGCTTTAAAGTGTAAGGAAATAAAGAGAAACAGTATAAAAAGATGAACAATTTGTATGAAATCAAAGGTTAGTGCACATCTTAACCATGATGTAGCTTTTACAAAAATAAATTTCCTTAATAAACATAAAGGTATAACAATATAGCAAATACATGGCCATCATTGGGGTTGGATTTTTAATTAAAGGATATTTAATGCTTTTGTTAAGAATGATAGTTTTTAATCTAATTGAAACGATTTAAAAAAACAAAAACAACTACTAACTGAATTGTTATAATGTTTGTTTATTTTATCAATTAAAAAAAAATGTTTAAATTACTTAAACATTATATCCTAGGAAATTTTATTCATAATTTGAAAAATATATGTAGGTACATGAATAAATCTGCAGCTTAATGAAAAATATATTTATTTTACATCAGAAATATTTATTTTTCAAAAATCTCCTTTGTAAATGCATTTAACCCTATGCTATTCAATTAATCATATCGATCAAAACATTTTACAGTGAAAATTTTAGATCAAAATTCAATTACTAATAGTGTTTGACTGCAGATTATTGGTCCATTCTTGTACATATATTTTAAGTTTAATAAGCTTCAATTTAACTCTAGTCATATCTGTGAAACATCTCTGTACTACTTACTACAGTTGCTTTCATCTGATGCATCAGAACAATCAAAATTTTTGTCACATTTCTGGTTAGCCTCTATACATTGACCATTTTTACATTTGAACTGGTTAGGTTGACAACGTTGTGCAACTAGTTATGTTGAAAGAGAGAGACACAAAACATAATAAACAAACAAAGACATACAAAACAGTCTGACATCAACAACGAAAATAATACAAACCTTATGAACATTTACAATCCTTGATTGTATATCATATACACAGATTATCCAATGCTTTATATTTTAAATTTTTTTATTTTGTCCCATTATAAAATTAAACCAAACTTATTTAAGTGGGTTGTTTTATTTAGATATATATTTTAAATGATTAAATATTTTAGTTGTTTAAAAATGTTTAAACTTTAATTATGTTTTTAATTTTATTTTTTAAATAGTGTTTAAAATTTTTTTAATTTATTCATAAAATGATTTAAAGTGATTTATAGTAAACTTTTTTTTATGGTTTAGTGTTACTTACTACAACCAAATTCATCAGAACCATCAGCACAATCAAATTGTCTGTCACATTTCTTGCTAGCTTCTATACATTGTCCATTTTTACATTCAAACTGGTTAGGTTGGCAACGTTGTGCAGTGGCTGGGTGAAAGGTGAAATAGAGGTTCACAGGATGATACATAATAGTTGACAGTGCAATAACGAGGAGAACATGCAGAATCAAAGGTAGTTGTATGCTTTAATAATATAACAGGTGTAACAGCAAAATTGTCCAAATTGTGTTACAGCATAATTGTCAAGCCCACAAAATGTTTAATATCTAAAAAAAAAAAAAAAAAACTAATTGAGTTTCTTTTTACCAGGTTTTCATATAAGACATTTAGCCATCTTAATACCATTTGTCATAAGAATCACTGAAAATGCCTTTGAGCTATCCAGCTAGAAAGAGAACAGGTTAAAATCATTTTGTGTCTTCCTGACTACCTTCCCAAATGAGCAATGGTGAGAGGAAAAATTTCATTCAGGTCTTCAGTAATGATACTAACATTCATACTCTGGCTTCCATCTACAAAGTTCATCCAGGAACCATGAAGAGAATAGTGAATAAGTTTAAAACAGAGGGAACAGTAGAGAGGAAAACAAGATCAGTAGATCACAACAGCAAGAGGATTATGATTTCAACTTAGAGCTAAAGAGATCCTTTAAAAATGATCCAACTCAATCCATAAGACAGTTGGCACATGAGAGAGGAGTTTCAGCTATAATAGTCCAAAGAGCAGTGAAAAAAGACTTGAAAATGAAATTGTATGTGAAATGTGTCAGGCAACTTGTTCCTCCAGAGCAGAAAGTTAGGTTAGAGAGGGCAAAGATCATTTTGAATAAGTTGAAAATGATCCTGGAATATATATATATATATATATTCCAAGATTTTGTGTGTGTGTGTATATATATATATATATATATATATATATATATATATATATATATATTTGAACTTTATTTTAATCATTCATGAGCTTTTGATCCTTAGCTATGATTAATTAATGATGAACATGTCATCTTTGTTTAGGATTGATTTCATCATGCTTCTTCTGTTTGTATTGCTCAAAGCAGAGTCCAATAGTGTTATAAAACCTTGGAAAATTCCAGTAAGATATCTTTAATCATTTCTAAGATACAACAGTTCAAAACTTAAACTAACAATCAGACAATTTTGCTGTTACACCTGGTATAGTAATATATTCTATAGAAATGTTTAATACTGTTAATTTGATTGAAGGGGATTATTGAAGTTATTTGACTATATCTTTATTCAAACATAGAGGAGGTTTATAAAAATTAACTAATAGCATTTGAAGATATTTTGATTAAAAAAGTTAAAATAGATCTGTTTACATAAAATGTCATAACAGTGATTAATCTGTCATGTTTTTCTTCATTTTAGATCTTATATTATCTTGTAGGTTATTTTAAAGTGTTATTTTTATTTATAAAATATAATTTAAAAGATTTCCAATTTACTGTAACTTTTACAGTGTAAACTTGTCTTGTTTAATTAAAGAAAAATGTTTTCTAAAATGTCCAATTTAATATTGGGTATATACTATTTTTTGAAACTACTCACTACAATCTAATTCATCTGATTCATCAGAACAATCATAACGTCGGTCACATTTCTTGCTAGCATCTATACACTGTCCATTCTGACATTGAAACTGGTTAGGTTGACAACGCTGTGCAGCAGCTATGTGAAAAGTGAAATGAGTACAAGTAATTTTTGGTACAATTAAAATTAATTATAGTACAAATTTCAGGAAATATTTGAAAAAAAAAAAAAAAAAAAAAAAAAAAAAAAAAAAAAGATAGGTGTTAAAGAGTGATACAATGATGAAATAAATTATATCTTTATTATTAAAATAAATAATCTCCGACCAAACATTGTCTATAAGCCACTTCTTATTTGACATCATATTTTGGACAAACTTGTAACCACAAAACAATGGAGTGTTAAAACGACGGTGTGTTCATTGACACTGCTATTATTTTAGCTATTTTCACCCCGAGCAATATTCTTTTAAAAAGTGATGATTAAGAATGCTATAAAACCTAAACATATGAAAGTGAATTTATACATTTTCTTTGTTCTTGAGAATTTACAACAAAAATAATAAACACTATTTATTAGATTGTTTATTGGAATGGTTGGCACCTAATGTCACCTAATTGTCAATCGATTCAAACTTTATAAAATGGTAAATAATAAGGATTTCCTTAGTTGGTTAATATATTTTAATAATTTAGTAAATGTTTATAAATTTATCAATAAAAACTGTTTTCATATTTATTTCTTTATAAACTGTTAAATGATAAATATTGCGTTAGTATTTAGAATATTGTAAATATAAAATTAGTCTTGTAAATAATCTAATAAACAAATAGTGTTTAATAGTTTTGTTGTAAATTCTCAAAAAGAAAAAATATTTAAATTCATTTTCATCATATGTTTATTTTTATTACAATTTTAATCATTGCTTTTTAAAACAACAAAAATTGCCAAATATGGGAGGTAGTTAAAATAATTGCAGTATCAAGGGGAAAACTTTCCTTTTGACACCCCCTATTTTGTAGGGCACAAAGGTCCAAGTTTGCTTAAATTTTTTTATGCAAATTTCAAAATAAGAGCAACAAATGACTTTACATCAGTACAAGTTACAGCAATATAATTGAGTATGAGAACATCTATTGTGAGTTTAATGATAGTTCTTTCTAGAATAGAACAGAAGGGTTTTTTTTTCTTCAATTTTCTATTCTTGCTGACAAACTTCTGTTGCTCAAGTCTTGATTTTCCAAGCATTGATATGATAGCAATTTCTTTCCATTCAAGAACGATGGAAAAGGCAGTGGAATGGGTTATGTCAATTCGCTTGGAGATTTTCTTACAGCTTTCCTCTAATTGATAAGTTTTACTTTTTCGGATTCTCAGAATTATCTTTAGTTTTTAATATGATTTAAAAACCAAATTAATGTTTAATTTTTAAAATAAATTTATATAAACCTTCTAAAGTGATATTGAACATTACAAGATGAAGAGAGTATAAAAATAGCTCAATTATATCTGTTTTTATGACCTAATTACAAGCAAATTTATTTGATTTTTTTTTTTTTACACTTGTAGCTAAATATAATTGTGGAAATAAAATATTAACTATATCTTATCATTTCTATTATTAAATTCTTTTACTAAAACTAATTGAATAGATTAATGTCATCAAATCAAATTTAAAATGATTAATTAGAAAACATAGGGAAAATAATTTTAGTTGAATATTTTTTTACATACATATTTTAAACATCCCACATCTACTTACTACAGTTGGCTTCATCTGATCCATCAGAACAATCATAACGTCGGTCACATTTCTTGCTAGCATCTATACATTGTCCATTTCTACATTCAAACTGGTTAGGTTGACAACGTTGTGTCGTGGCTAAGTGAGAAGTGAAAGGAAGACATACAATGGGAGGGACAGTGCAAAGGGAAATAGGTGCAATGCATTAAGATTATGAGAATCTAAGGTTTTAATGAGAAATTTTTTAAATTCTTACAAAATATCAGAAGGGAAACGCTATATAGAAACACTTACAAATATATATATAAGTTGTAAGGCATGTAATACTGACAACTTTCTTTTAAATAGCAGTGGCAAACTTTGCAAAGAATTCAATTATATTTGTTGTTTTATGTTCCCATGATCAGTAGTTAACTTCTTGGCTGCCTCTTAGTTTACTATACACTTTATATCTCTTCTATTTAACATATGCAAATAGGTACAATTTACTAATCCACTACATCTCCCAAATCGAAGAGGTTTCATGCCTTTGTTTCTTCTCAAACATTTTCTACAACCTCTTCCCCCCTTAATGTTTATGTCCTGTTCTTCTTGGTCTCATTTCAGCTTCTTCCATGTCTAATCATTCCCGCTATTATCCATAGGCTCATCTTCTATTGCATTGTCCTGATCTGAAGAACTCATCCTTTCTTCTCGGTCAAGGTCTTCTTTTATCATGACATCATCTTCAATTTTGGGTCTTAATTGGTCAGAATTGGCCATTAAGCTTTTTTCTTTCTTTGATGTAATGGCCATGTTATGTCCCTTTTGCATAATGAAATTAGCTCTCTCAGGATTTGCTACTTTGTCTTTCTTATGCTGTTATGAGTAATGTATCCAGGATACATTGTAGAAGTATTATATCATACAAGTAGAATGGTGGTTTTGTTTAGTACTTTCCAGTAATATTTAAAGTACTTTGATGCTCAAGTAGCCTATAAGTCACTGTTTAGTTTTAAGTGATTTAAATTCATATAAAAATAATTTCATAAATATAAAAGAAAGTTGGAGCAATTGTAATATTAATCCAAAGATCTATGCTCAGGTTTCAAGTTTCTTTCAATGTGGATAAAAATTATAGATCATTAAGAGGTATTGAAAAAATCTCAGCCTGATTAATATCTTAAATTCTGACCAAATATCAGAATTTTTCAGGAAGGCTAAAGGCCTTTCACTACAATCTTATAATAATGAATTATTAATAATTAAATAAATAGTAGCCATGTAAAATTTTTAGATATTATCTTTTTAAGAAATGTTTTCAGCCTGATTAAGAAAGAATTAAACAAAATAGATTTCTGATGTTTAGTCATTTGCAAAGATTTAGAAATGGATCAGGCCAGGAACTTTTCACCCCCCCCTCATTAAAAAAAGTAATTTAGCTTTAATTCTGGTATAAATTATTAATCATTATCTAAGAGTAATCATTTAGTAGTATTATTTTCAATTAAAATGATGCAAGTATTTATATTTTGATATTTCGTAAAATTAATGAATGCAAAATTCATAAAAACTTTCAATTTTGCAATATTCACAATTACAGAAAGAAATGAAAATGTTGAATATAAAGTAAATATAATGAATAAAAGTAGTATATAAAAAAGTATAATAAAAGTAGCATTATCAGAGACATGGCAATGATATACTTTTGGTTGGAATTTAACTTAATTTTATTTATCAAAATCTTTTCAAATTTCAGTTTATCAATACATCACAGCCAGAAGTATACATCTTTATGCAATGAGTTTTTTTTTTATTGTTTGGATTTTGTATCATTCAGATACATCTTAAAATAATATTAAAATAAATCTTTTAATATTATGAGTTAAAATAAATTAGTTAAAACATGGTTATACTATAAAGACTCATAGAAGATTATTGTTAAAAAAGCAATACTTTTATCAAATTTGATTTTTAATTTATTATTTTTAAACAAAACTGAATTTAAGTAAGTATATCCAACCTATCTGATACCATTGTTTGTCTTCATTTGTTTATTTACTATTTTTTATCTCTACTTACTACAGTTGCTTTCATCTGACCCATCAGGACAATCATAACGTCGATCACATTTCTTGCTAGCATCTATACACTGGCCATTTTTACATTCAAACTGGTTAGGTTGACAACGTTGTACAGCTAGGTTAAGTGGAGTACAAATTGACATCAGATTGAGACACACAAGACACAAACACAATAAAGTGTACAACATGCTAATAATATTGATTACAACATTCTAAATATTGAAAAGTTCTTGGCCCAACCCACTTCCCAAAATATGACCAAATGTACAAATAATAAATTTCATTTTTTAATCTCTTCTTTTTTGAGCCAAAAACTTTTCAGAAGCCCTCATATATACGGCTATAATTAATATTCAGTTTATATAAAAGTATTAGACATATAAATTATATATTATTATATCTGGTTGGAAGAATTGCAGGTTGTAGAACATTAAATTTATTTAGAACTTTCCGTTCAACCATACTGTATTTGATGGCATATAACAATATACTTTTTTGGTCCCAATTATTAGAATTTTATGAGCTAGTAAAAGATAGATAAGAAACTTTTTTTTAACTTGGCCAAATTGGGAACATGAATAAAATTCCAATAACATTTGACATACTATCCAACACATTTCTATCTTGATATTCCTTGCTGAAATATTTTTTTTTATATACCTGTGGATTTATGTGTTATCAAATACAGTAATTTGAAAAGTGATAAAAAAAAGAATTACAAATTAGTATCATTTAGAAAAAAAAAATTACCATCAAGAAATGATAAACATTGGATGAGATATTGTTTAATAAGTTTCATAACTTAAGATCAATTATTTATTTAATTATAATTATTATAATTTACTTGATTATATATTGTTTTTTTAATTATTTACTGTTTTATTATAAAGATAAATAAATAATTTTATAGACAGTAAAAATTAGAAATATATTTTTGCGACATTATCATATTGAGTCATTTGTAGAAAAGTGTGTTTTATGACACTTATTAATGAGATAAAATTTAATTATATACAAGCAGCGACAGCAATGGCGCAGAATAATTATGTCTTATATCATCAGTGACATGACAAAATTATATTTTAGCTTCTGTTGCTTCTTATACTTGAAATCAATAAATTATCTGAGGATTGCTTGGAATATATACATTTTATAATGGATTTATATGAAAATCTCTGCTTTTCTAATTCTTTCTAAGTATTTAAAATTTACACCCAAAACAATCGAGGCTATAGAAAGATAAATAATTAAATCTATAAAAGAAAAAAATTAACTTTATATCAACAAAGAAATGAAGATATAAAGTCATATATTTAAATCTGAATAATTAACAGAAGCGTTATCAGTGCATGTCACATTAGAATTCACTATCTACTTACTACAGTTGCTTTCATCTGATCCATCAGAACAATCATAGTTTCTGTTACATTTCTTGTTAGCATCTATACATTGTCCATTTCTACATTCAAACTGATTAGGTTGGCAACGTTGGACAGCTAACAGATGTGAAAGACATACAACATAAAAAAAAAGACAAAACAAAAACACATGAGACCAACACATTAACAGTCGGTGCACAAGATTAAACCCTATCTACAATAAGATATAAGTTACAATAAAAAATAACTTTTAAATGCTAACTTTTATGAAGGACTTTAAAAATTAATCATTATTCAAATGAGAAATTATTTTTCTTCTTCTCCATTTAAATAGAGGTATGAAAAATCTTCTTCAAATTATTAAGTATATGATTATTTAATTCCATAATGAAACTATAGTTGATCTTTCAGTTCAAGCCAGGGATATTTTTTTTAAAATAATATATTTTAATTTAATAAATTATTGTTTTTAATTACATCAGAAATTCATGCTTAGTATTTACAGAAAAATTAGTGAGTAACTTTAATTTTAATAAAAAAAAAAATTACATTTAATTATAGAGCTATGATGTTTTTTTTTATTTTATTTTATTTTTTTAACTATACAAGCAGCAGCCGCAAGAGCGCAGTTGATGATGTCATTTATCATCAGTAACCTGACAAAGGTACACATTTACTGTTGGATTTTCTATTCAAAGTGGTACATTTACAAAGTTCAATGGTTTTATTTTTATGTTTTGCAATATATAAAGGACAATCTTGTAAAATCATTTCATGCAAGATTTTTATAAATCTAGAATGAATAGAAGAAAAAAACTTTTTTAGGGTTTATGAAACCATTTCCAATGACTCATTTTCTTGCAAGAAATAATTTAACAAGTTTGAGAAGAAATTTGAACTTCAGCTTAGCTTAAGTTCATTGAAATTAGAATAACCAACAGAATTGTTGTTAGTGTACAGTCAGTTTGTTTGTCGTTTACTTACTACAGTCTTGCTCATCTGATCCATCTGAACAATCGTAACGTCGATCACATTTCTTGTTAATGTTTATACACTGGTCATTTCTACATTGAAACTGGTTAGGTTGGCAACTTTGTGCAGCTAGGTGAGAGGTGAAAGAGAGAGATACAAAATATGAGGTGCACAGAAGAGAGTGACAAGTGCAAGGAAAGAGTGCAGGGTTAATCAAGAATTAATCTCAGATAAATTAATATAGTTATTAAAATATTTAAATATGTTACAACCAAGTTTTAAAGCAGAGATTTGACAGTTTTTAAATAATGCAATTTTGGCAATCTTTAACTTTCATGCCTGCAAAAAATGGCGTGTCAAAAGGATGGTTTTTCCTTTGACTCCACTATTATTTTAACTACCTTCACTCCTCAACAATGTTTGTGGTTTTAATAATCAATTATTATAATTTTAATAAAACCTAAACATGATAAAATTTACACATTTTTATGTTCTTGAAAATTTACAACAAAAATATTGAACAATTTTTTTTTAGACTGTTTATTTGCAAGAATAATTTTATATTTACATTCTAAAAACTAATACAATTATATTAAGACTAAATGCAATGCAATATTTATCATTTACCAAATTATAAATAAATAAATATGAAAACAATCTTTTATTGATAAATTCTAAAACATTTAACTAAATTATTAAAATATGTGAACCAGCCATAATGAAATCCTTATTATTTACCATTTTATAAAGTCTGAATCAATTGGCTATTAGCCAATGTTTTGTGAATTATTCCAATAAACAATATAATAAATAGTGTAAATAAACAATTTAATAAATAATTTTTGTCGTCAATTTTCAAGAACAAAGAAAATATATAAATTCACTTTCATATATTTAGATTTTATCAAAATTCTAATCATCGCTTTTTAAAAACAATAAATATTGCTGAGGAGTGAAAATAAAAGTGGTGTCAAGGGAAGAACTGTCCTTTTGACATACTATTTGCATACAGGATAGTTAAAGATTACTGCAATTTTATACCTTTAAACAAGCAAGTTGATTTCTCAAGTGTATATTGATAGTAATTAAAAAGTAGTGATTAGTAGAATGTGTTGAGCAATTAAAATACTTCAATTCAGTAATAATAAAATTTAGGTTTTTTTTTTTTTTTTTACAAACTCATTATATATATATATACTTGAGGACGTTAAAACAATATGTAAAAATTGCTACACCATTGCAGTCGTGTTTCAACACATAACATTGAGTTTCCTCAGGCGATTATAAGTTACTGGCGATTGAATGATTAATCACCTGAGAAGGCACAATGGTATGTGTTGAAACAAAACCACATTTGTGCAGCGATTTTTATATGTTGTTTTAATATCCTAAAATAAATAATATTGCACTACTCTGTATTGAGCATTCTTTTAAATTAAATGTATGAACATTGGAATTGTACTCTATTCGTCCTCATCTTAAATGGATAGATTACTCACTCATTTAAATATTGTCTGCAGTAATGCAGATGATAATTACTTATCCATGACATGACAAAAGTACACATTGCTTCTGTTGGACTTTCATCTGATAATTATTCCATTGCTAAAATTTCCAAGTTTCAAAAAAATATTTTAATGGTCAATATGCTCAAAACTTTATAAAATGGATTCAGATATCATTTGAAATTTTTAATTTTTGCTGCAGTATTTATGAAATATAAATGACTTCATATATTTACAAAGAATATCTTAGGTTATTTTTAATATAAACAATTATTAAATAACTTATATGATAAATGTCACAAGCACCAACTGAAGTAATATAAGTGAGTCAGTCATGTGTTTTGATAACTACTTACTACAATTGCTTTCATCTGATCCATCAGAACAATCGTAGTGTCGGTTACATTTCTTGCTAGCATCTATACATTGTCCATTTCTACATTGAAACTGGTTAGCTTGACATTTTTGTGCAGCTGGGTGAGCGGTAAAAGAGAGACACATAAAATGTGAGGTGTAGTAAGATAGAGACAAGTGAAAGGCTTTGAGAAACATACGGGGAAAGGATGAGTTTTTATTATTATTTAAAAAAAGGAAGATAATCTATTTATACAATCTATTTAATTTAATATTAGAGATGATTTCTTTGTAAATATAACATTATCTCTTTAAATGTTTCAATATCTAAGTGTGTTTAATAAATGACATGTAAGATACAAATATTTAGACAGATACAAATATTTTTCACTTTTTAAGTGTAAGTTTTTATACTGAAAATGTAATGTTAATATAGATATTAACTATGCCATGAGCTCATTTTTAGCCATTATAATTTGGCAATTAATCCTATCATATAGAGAATACACAAGTAAACCCATTTCAGAACAATAATTTGAAAAAATGAAATTGTGACTTATTTCAAAGATATACACCTTTAAATACATAAAATAAGTAATCAACAGTTATATAAATCCAACTAAATATAGCTATTTTCTTAAATATGTTAGGTTTGTAAAATTCGTTTGCTCCTATATATAGAGATTGGTCACATGATGTTAGGCAGTCTCTCATTGGTTAATAAAACCATGTAGGTTTAGAAAAAGCTGGCAACCACCGGAGAAGGGACCGGACCTGCTCCAAAGCAACATGCAAGAAATTCTCTCCACCACCAACAGTACCAGTTGCCGAGGATTTTAAAGGTACATGTTATCTAGCCCCATTTCACTCTACCAGATAGGTAAATCTGCCTGATATATTCTCTATATATAGGAAAGGACATTGTGTTTATGTTAACTATTGTATTCATGTTTAGGTGTCAATAAATATCTTTATGTTGATAAAGTAGTATTCTTATTCGTGTCCCAAATATATTCATTTTGGTATCTAAGCCTATATCACAGAACTAAATATTAATTTTCTTTTATTGAAATTCAAATTTATTAATGTATGTAATTTCTGTTATATGTTACAAAAGAATGAAAAATCATTTTGTTGTAATTTGATAATTTCAGTGATGTCCACAGAGGTATGTGTAGAATATAAGCTAATGAAACAACAGTTAAATAATTGGTCTGAAAACTTAAAAAATGCAACCAACATCAGTTTTCATATTATGTTATTGTTTTATACCAATATCCCATACATATATAGAAAAACATTTGTGAAAATCAAGTGGTAATATAATCCTTTTTATTTTTTGTGTTCTTGATGAAACATAGGAAATAAAGAGAATATCAGAACAAAGTAGAAAACTTGGATATTAAAACAATTGGTTGACTGATTTTTTTAACTGTCTTCATTACATTTTCACAGAGTCCTTTTTAACATCAAATGCTTTAAAGTTTTCCAATATTCTGAAAGTTTACAAAATCATAATATACATTATGTATATAATGTACATAATATACATTAATATAATTTTTTTTTTCATGTTAAGAAAATATTAGCTTCCATTATGCAGAAAAAAACATTAAGCATTTAGGAAGTTACTTGTTTTTATGAAACAAGATTAGCAAAAAGTAAACAGGAAATCCCAACTTTTTAATAATGAAAAAATGCCATTGATTCCACTATCTATCCCCTGGTAAATATTTAGGGTAATTTGTTTTTAAGCCCTGTGCTAAGTATCTAACAAAAATTTCTCGAATAGTTATATTTAGGGGTAAATATACATGCTTAATTTTAAAAAGAAATTTTGATAAAATCTACCATTTAGAAGTTATTGACAATAAAAGTTTGGACACATTCACGTTACAGCATGGCAGCCATTACTGGCGCTGTTTGCATACATTCAGGCCATAGACTGTATTGAGCAACAACAAAAAATTAGTTCAATTGTTGGAAAAACCCTTCAAACATACAATATATTTTTGCACATTTGGCCATTTGAAATTTTGAAAAAGAATTTGTTTTTTTTAGTATGAATGTTCTGTCTAGATATTCAATATTCACATGTACATTTATATTTCATCTAGTAATTATAGAAAATAAATGACAAATATAGAAAAAGTTTCAATTTCAGAAAAAAAAAAAAAAGGAAAATTTATTCAATGAAAGGCTTGTATGGGTATTGCAATATTCTTAGACATTTTATCTTTAAAAAGTATTTAAAATTATACTATTTATTCTTTTTTGACTACTTACTACAGTTGCTTTCATCTGATGCATCAGAACAATCATAACGTCGATCACATTTCTTGTTAGCATCTATACACTGGCCATTTTTACATTCAAACTGGTTAGGTTGACAACGTTGTACAGCTAAGTAAGAGGTGAAATAAAAATACTTATATATGAGGCTGTAGGTAGACATGGAGAGTCAGATTTTGAATAATAGGTGTTGTAGTAGAACTAATACTTGAATGATATTTATAGTATATAGTTGAGATTGAACCTCACTAACCCAGCATTCTCTAGTTTGGCAGCTTTGATGGTTCAAGCTGGTGATTTGAGGATTATTTTATTTGGGTATGAACAAAAAAATGCCAACAAGAAATTGACAAAAGAAAAAACCCAAATAGTATAAAAGTTAATTTTATCATTAAAATCTTTGTGCCATTAGTAAAGATTAGAGAAAATTTTGATAAAAAAAGTGTGTACAATTTATAGGTGATACTTGTGAAAAGTGATAGTGTATGTGTATGTATATAGCTGGCCACTTGTATTTGAGGATATCTGTCTGCTAGGGCGGCTAGCCAATCCATATTGCAGACACTTGCTCAAGCATATTTGTGTTTATTCAACACCCACATAGCCCACTTGTAGTTTATACTACAACTATGCTGAGCAGACCTTAGTTACAGTTTCTGGGGAAGAGCATGTTATCTAGCGTGATCAACAATTTGAACAAGGCCAGCACGCTCAAGTTCTCGGCCATGATGACTCGTGACTTTGTGCTAGCACAGCTTTCGATGGCTCCCAAGGGTTCTGTCTACTCAATTTCTATAACAAGGCTTGGGTCAACCTGTGGTTTCAGGTACTTTCCAAAAGGTGCTGCATGCTGGGATTGGCCCCTCCAGTCTGATAACATCAGGAAGTCTCCTTCCTGACAAATCAACCATGGCAAGATTTGAACCTGGGTTTCATGGTCAGAATGCAAATGTTCTAATCAAACAGCCATTTGCCCATGTGATAGTGTGAAAAGCAAAAAAATATATAATTTGCATCAGAAAGTTTTTAGGTGAGAAACACCTTCATTTTAAAAATCTACTAAAAATCAATTAAATATCAAATTTTAATCCAATTTTTTTGAACTTATACAAGATGAAAATTATGTAAAAGAAGTTTCCATTTTAAATTTGGTAGAGAAGTGTGTTTTTTTTTTTTTGCATGTGATTAAACACTTTCTTAATTTGATGATTTATATTACTTAAAATGTTGAATATAAAGTAAATACAATGAATAATAGTAGTAAAAAAAGTATAATAAAAGTAGCATTATCAGAGACATGGCAATGATATACTTTTGGTTGGAATTTAACTTAATTTTATTTATCAAAATCTTTTCAAATTTCAGTTTATCAATACATCACAGCCAGAAGTATACATCTTTATGCAATGAGTTTTTTTTTTTATTGTTTTTATTTTGTATCATTCAGATACGTCTTAAAATAATATTAAAATAAATCTTTTAATATTATGAGTTAATATAAATTAGTTAAAACATGGTTATACTACAAAGACTCATAGAAGATTATTGTTAAAAAAGAAATACTTTTATCAAATGTGATGTTTAATTTATTATTTTTAAACAAAACTGAATTTAAGTAAGTATATCCAACCTATCTGATACCATTGTTTGTCTTCATTTGTTTATCTACTATTTTTTATCTCTACTTACTACAGTTGCTTTCATCTGACCCATCAGGACAATCATAACGTCGATCACATTTCTTGTTAGCATCTATACACTGGCCATTTTTACATTCAAACTGGTTAGGTTGACAACGTTGTACAGCTAAGTAAGAGGTGAAATAAAAATACTTATATATGAGGCTGTAGGTAGACATGTAGAGTCAGATTTTGAATAATAGGCGTTGAAGCAGAACTAATACTTGAATGATATTTATAGTATATAGTTGAGATTGAACCTCACTAACCCAGCATTCTCTAGTTTGGCAGCTTTGATGGTTCAAGATGCTGATTTTGTTTGGGTATGAACAAAAACAATGCCAACAAGAAATTGACAAAAGAAAAACCCAAATAGTATAAAAGTTAATTTTATTGTTAAAATCTTTGTGCCATTAGTAACCAGAAAGATTAGAGAAAATTTTGATAAAAAAAGTGTGTACAATTTATAGGTGATACTTGTGAAAAGTGATAGTGTATGTGTATGTATATAGCTGGCCACTTGTATTTGAGGATATCTGTCTGCTAGGGCGGCTAGCCAATCCATATTGCAGACACTTGCTCAAGCATATTTGTGTTTATTCAACACCCACAAAGCCCACCTGTAGTTTATACTGCAACTATGCTGAGCAGACCTTAGTTACAGTTTCTGGGGAAGAGCATGTTATCTAGCGTGATCAACAATTTGAACAAGGCCAGCACGCTCAAGTCCTTGGCCATGATGACTTGTGACTTTGTGCTAGCACAGTTATCGACGGCCCCCAAGGTTCTGTCTATCAATTTCACTCACAAGGCTTGGGTCAACACATGGTATGGTTTTCAGGCACTTTCTAAAAGTTGCCGCATGCTGGGTTTGACCCCTCCAGTCCAATAACATCAGGAAATGTCCTTCCTGACAAATCGAGACTCGAACGTTCTAACCACTGAGCCACGTGCCCACGTGATAGTTTGAAAAGCAAAAAAGACTATAATTTGCATCAGAAAGCTTTCAGGGGAGAAACACCTTCACTTTAAAAATCTACCAAAAATCAACTAAACATTAAATTTTAATCCACTTTCTAATTTTTTTAACTTATACAAAATGGAAATTATTTTAAAGAAGCTTCCATTTTAAATTTGGTAGGGAAGTGTTTTTTTGCATGTGATTACACTATTTCTTAATTAATTTAATGATTTATATTACTTAAAAAAAACATTAATGCCTACATC